CTAAACAAATTCATCAGCCATACAACAATAATGCCATAATCAGCATTCTCTTGGCTGAAAATTGATTATAAACACCTGGAAAAGCTCATTTTCAAAAAAATTCCACTTCCATATAACATTCAACATTCAACAACGCTTTGTAATGCAAAAATAAAATCAATTCCATTCCGATTTGTACGAAATTTGTTGTTTCTCCCCTCCCTTCCTTGTTGGCCTCAACAGATCAAAACCGATCAAAACAAATCTCAAATCTCACACCAAAATCAAAACATAAAGCCGCTTAGGCGTTTTGTCCAAAAACAATATACATACATACATATATACACCAAATGTATCTGTAAAAAGCAACAACAGATTGTTATTGTTGCACTTGTCGATGTAGATGTGGATGTGAATCTTGTTGAGCAGTCTTCTGCTCATAAATGGTCAGTAGCGGTACGTTTTCAAGTAATTTGGTCTTTTGGGTATATCATTCCAGAGTGGTGGAGGTTATAGGGTAGCACCCACGAAGGAAATCTCGTTTCTACTATGCTCTTAACAGAGTATCAGTTTTTATTTATTTTTCTTATACATATATTCCATTGGAATTCCAACATTTTCGTTTCATTTTTCAGCATATTAATTATGCTGTTGGTGGTGCACCACCACCCCAGGAGTATTGTAATGGCAAACTTTGTTTACATTCCATTTATCCCTTAATTTTCCTCTTTTCATTCGTATTTCTTCTGTTTTTTTCTTGAATTACTTTGATTCGTAAATACATATACGTGGGACATAAATTGTAGAACCCTCTTATAGATATTTAGTTTCATTTATGGGAAACAAAAAACTTTAAAATATTAATTTATTCAATTCCTAGCAGTTCTCTTTTGTAGGGTATTCCCTATTTCAAATACATATGCATATTGCCCCATTTTAAATTTGCTTCTTTTTGTATAAAAAGAAGTGCGAAATTTAAATCGTTCACTTTGACAGAAAAAATAAACAAATTCCCCGCGTCTCTACACTTGTGCTTTGTGTGTGTATGTGTGTGTGTGGAGGTGCGTGGGCCGATCATCAGACCCCAAGGGTATCTCATGGGTTGATATATACATACATACATATATATATCTTTATGTATGTATGTATATGTGTATCTGTATCGGGCGACCTTGTTTTCGGTTTAATTCGTTGTGCGTGCGGCAAACGCTTTGCAGGCCGTTTCCTGCCCTGGCGAATACCCCTAATGGCACGATGTTAAGTGGCTGGCCGGGTTAGCTTCAGTTAGGGAGAGGCAAATGACCGATTAGAAATCGTCAGTTTCTTTCACAGCCAGTGACCAGTGGCTCGCCCTTTCTCGTGATGCAACTTCAAAGCGCGGACGCCATCAGACAATTATCAATTTATGAATTGCCCCAAGTTCGAATCAAAGCGAACGGTCCATCATCATTAGTTAAACGAATCTTCCCCGAACACACACACACACACACACACACACACATATTAATATTTTGTACTAATAAAAGATCTCTCTCTTCTCTCTCGTTGCAGGTAAATGAAATGAATTGAATGGAATGGAAAATTCTTGAATTATGCGAAACTCTTTGTAAAATCTTTTCCAAAAAAAAAAAAAAAAAAAAAAACAGCATTTCCAGTTCGAGTCAAAGCGATGCACAAATAAATGATGATGATGATGTATCTTATAGATACACGCGCTAGCACATGTATCTGTATCTGTAGTTGTGTATCTCTGAGCATTGCATGCCAATTGAATGCAAGGGGGTGGGGAGGTGGTGTGAGGGGTAAATACTGAAAATACTTCGCTTCTGTTCGTTTTGTCCGTAATTTTTGTGCGCAAATCGAAAAGCTTTCTAATCGCTTGGCTACCCGCGCGGAGTCCGAGGAAAGCGTTTTTTTTTTCACCACCATTTTCCATTTCCCCATTCGCATTGCAGTTTGCGTCTTGGCAGCGCCTTGACATTTCGCTGGCTCGCAGGCTGTGTCGCTTTTTAAATTCAATATATTTGTATATCCGATATGTACAATATATAGAAGCAGCAGATACATACATACATACATATGTGAACACCTAACATACATATTTCGTGTATTTCGTGTATAGTCGGTTGATGTGTGACGCCGTTTTGTGCTTTTTATTATGGCAGCATCAGCAGATATTTGGCCAGCTTTGTCACAGCCAAACACATTTGCGTTGTGCGATTTTCTTTTGGAAAATGAGTATACGAATTTTCGCATATTTCTACAGTGAGCTCACAAAAAGAAAGAAAGAAATAAACACACAAAGGAACTGTGTCACATTGCTCCATCGATCAATGTCCCCGCCAAAGTTTAAGTATTAGTATTACCCTAACCTAAAGAGAAAGAAACCAAAATCAAAGTGTCTCAAATAACCTAAAGAAACGCGCATCGAGCATGGCTCTGACCATGAATATGGTGTTCCTCAAGGATCTACGCTCCCGCCTCAAAGGATATCTGTATCATGTATGTATTGGGGGCTGAAAACAATCGAGAAAATCTGCAAGGCAAACACGTTTATTTGTAGAAGAAGTCCACAGGGTATGTGCAGAGCCATAAGCCCTAACATTCCAGTATTCTGTAAAGCTCATTAAAAGAGCGGCTCAACGCTCAATAAGCTGCTAAGTAGCGGTACATCGCTGTCAAACAGGCTCAACTGCAGCTGCAATCATAATGCTATCTCTCTCTTTCTCTGGCATGTTTTCTGCTCTCTCGCAACTAATTTGGCTCTCCCACTTTGCGGCCCTTTCAAAAACGCGAAGGCAGAGGCAGCAGCAACCGGCATAAATATGCTACTTTCTCAGACTCCCTTTGTTTTTTTGGATGCAACCGCACATCCACCCTCTATTCATGCCACAATATATGGCAATATTATGCTGATTATGCAGTTATGTTGTGTCAGGCAACCCGTCAGTGCCTTTCCGTAATCTCCTTATGCAATCTTATTGGGGCTTATTATCATTACGAGCATAAGTACAAGATGCCGTTCAAATTTCCCAGCCACAAAACCTACTGTGAAAATAGAAGATGGAAAGAGGTGGGTGGGGATGGCGCTGCAGAATAAAATTATTATGGCAGCTCCCATACACTAAGCTTTTATTTTGCGTATTTTCAATTGATTTTTATTTGATTATGCGCGTTAATAGTAAACGTAAAATTAATTAAAACTGTCACTAACGGCAAACAAGATTATGTCCCAAAACACCCAACACAACTCCACCCTCCGCCCCACCCAACACACTGGCTGTTCCATCCTGTCTGCAGGCTCTGCATGAGTTGCATTTGGATCAGAGCCCACGTGTTGCGTTTAGTGATGAGCATGGACCGGCTTTTGATGGCACGAGGCAACGGGATTTAGGTGTTGATAATTATAAAATTTTATTTGAATTATTACTGGCATAATATGTATCGCATAATAGGGCGGCTCGAAAGGGTTCTGCCATCTCTAGTTGCTTGTGTTTGGTTTGGAGCGAACCTGTTGCTTGTTGCCTGCCGTTCGTCACGATTCGTTCGGCTTGTTTCGGGTTTAGCCGGACAACAACCACCACCCTACCGCCCACACACACCCAAGCAGCCAGCAGCAGCGGCTTGTCGTATAAGTGACATGTGGCTCGATGTTCTCATGTTCGGCTGGCTATAGGCGGTCGACAGTCGGTGGCGTAGTTAAGAGCGAGTTCGAGTTCCAATCGAGTGGTTCGATTAGCGGGCCAGTTGGTGTTACGAGTGGGGTTCACGTCGGCGCGTCGTCGGTGACTCAGAAAACTCCCTCAAGAAGTTATTCATTTCATAACATTTGCATAATTATCTGTGAAGTGACTGAAAATGAAGCATAAGCTCTCCACTAAAAGTTGTCCCAAAACCTTGGAAAGAATTTAAATTTGAATATAATATATAAATAGAAAATGAAAACCAATCTAAATACCAACGCGGAGGCGGCGATGTGCAATTTATAAACAAACGAACAAGTTCCTATGGAATTCATAGTTCATAGTTTCTTGAGTAACGTTACGAGACAACCGACTATTATCAGTATGCCTCAGAATGCCGTTTTGATAAGAAATCGTTTTGTTGTTATATTCTCTATTTCGCTTTTTGCCCTATCAGGGTCATATTAGAACTGGAAGGGCAACTAGAATCATAATATATGTGACTAAATGTTGTTGCGTTAAATTAGTTACAGTATTTTTCAAGGTTTAAATTGCTTAATATATGGAGAAAATATATGTATGTATATAAATGACATGGGATTAAGATTAGGAAACATTTCTAGCAGTGAGTCATGGCAGTTACAGCAGTTCTTGGTCACTACTCCTTCTGCTTGTTAATCTATGCCTAAAAGGGAGCTAAGCAAAGTTTTTCCTTAATTTAAATTTGTTTTAAAGTTGATATAATTTTTTTGTTTTTTTGTTTGTTTTTGTATATGTCTGAATTTTGCCACTTTACCTTTCTGCACTTGCCATTTTGTTTGGGGCATAGCTAGAGTACGTGGAAAGGCGAATCTAAATATTTGGAATCGATAGCAAACTGAGTAACAATGCTGTATGCCTCATTGTGTAAATAAGAGCTTGGAGAGAATATTAAATGGGTATAAGAAACATTGGAAATGCTTAGGCTGGGCACCGCCAGCACCCGCCAAGTTGCCTCGCCCCGCCTCGCCTTCTTTTATGAGTGATAAACGGAAGAAGGTCAAGATACGAACTTGAAAGTGAAACGGAAACGGCTGTAATTCCACCCTATCAGTAGTACAAATAGAAAATGCCTTTAATGGGCGTTCGAAATTAAATGACTCTTTTTTCATAGACATTAGAAATTCTAAACGGCACCTCATTCTATTTTGAAATTAGATTCAAAAAGTAAACTGACTTTCCATTCGATGAAACTTTCCATACATCAATTGAAACTTTCAGTTGTCATTCTGATTCCAATTCCGATTCTCATTCTAATTTCGATGCCGAGCAGCAATCACATCGTTAGACGTTAGAGAAAGTGTAACGGTGAGAAGTGGGCACTCAGTTTAGGTGAAAAGACTCGCAATTGAAATCGATTTCGATTAGAATTCCAATTTGCATAGCAATTATCTGGAGGCCTGTTGTTCTACGAGATCTAAGGCTGATTGTGCCACAGATACAGCAGCAACGACACCTTCTTCATTGTAGTTGTTTTTGTTGTCGTTTGCTTATCAGACAATGGCAATCGCTAGGCGTTGCGTTTAATGAGAAAGCCAGCCAGAAAAAGAGTAAAGAAAGGGGAATTTCTCGAATAGAAATGTAGATGTTGAATGAGAGAAAAAAAACAAACATTTTCTAGATAAACGGTAGTCGGAGACGGCGGAGTCGTGTGAATAAATGTTTCCATCCCTCCCTGCCCTCTCTCTTACGGGTCGCTAATTACCATGAACTTGTCAGCTGAGACAACGCCTCTCTGCCTGTAAAACTGTGCGCCATAAAATGACCAAAGTGTTGTAATCAGAAGTGACCATACACCCCACAGCCCGGCGAGTGTGTGTCTTAGCGGGAAATCGAGTTGAATTATGTCCAGACTTATAAACCGAATACGCAGCATGATCCATACCCAACGCCAGCGGGACAGAGACGACTCCTCTGATTCGGTCTCGGTCTCTGTGTCTGTGTCCGGGTCCAGTGTCCCCCAGTCTGACAGGAGATATCATTCCCTGCCCCGTCGCCGTCGCAGATACAGTGGCAACTCCACGACCAGACGGTCCAGCAGTGGCCTCTGGGATCGCATGATGAGCAATGTTTTTGGCACAGACACTGATGATCAGGGTTACGATGGTGATGGAGCCCAGTACATTGATTCGGTAAACGGTTCCCGTTACGAGATATCAGGAGATGTGAGTTGCCCCTATAAGGGTGTGTGCTGTACAATATACAATGGGATATTACTATGGGATCTACTATAGCCATGAATAACTTCACCGTCTAATCAATGATATGCTTCCTTTTGTTCCTTTCCGCAGGGCGAATACATCAAGCATCCCGTTCTGTACGAACTCAGTCATAAATATGGTTTCACAGAGAATCTGCCGGAGAGCTGTATGTCCATACGGCTCGAGGAGATCAAGGAGGCCATTCGCCGTGAGATCCGCAAGGAGCTGAAGATCAAAGAGGGCGCCGAGAAGCTGCGCGAGGTGGCCAAGGATCGGCGCTCCCTCAGCGATGTGGCGGTGCTCGTGAAGAAGAGCAAAAGCAAATTGGCGGAACTCAAGTCCGAGCTGCAGGAGCTGGAGAGTCAAATACTGCTAACGTCCGCCAATACGGCCGTCAACAGCAATGGACAAGGTGAGTGTTGTCTGTAGTTTGTGCGTCGATTGTGCAACATCTCTAGACCCGCCCCCTCTCTCTCTCTCTCTCTCTCTCTGCCCCTTCCTGTACGTACGCATATTTCTATTTCGAAAATCCATTAAAAAATCCCAAAAATCCCAAAAACTTTCCCAAAAGCCAATGGTCTTTCGTTCATAAACTGCTGCAATCACACGAGAGAGCGACAGGCGGCAGTAAAACACACACAAACACACACACGGACACACATTTCCATGCAACACGTTTTTTTTGTTTTGTTTTTGTGTGTGTTTTGGGGGGTATTATAACGAGGCAAGTACAGTGTATTACCAATAAAACAAACTGAGGAAGGGCGTGCTCCAGTGGGGCAGGTAGCAACGAAACTATAAACCAAAAAAAAAAAACAAAACAAAACTGGAAATTCCAGTGGAAGTTTATGAGAAATGAAGATGGATCGTTGTCGTTTCGTTCTACAAGTTGCACTCAAACTGAGTCGAACAGTGCGATGAGCGTCGTACATATGTCAGACTATTTTACAGGATTTTCTATTGAAGTAAAGGTAGTAGTAGTAGAGTAGTAGCTAGAGGCAAACACAGTCAACACATCTAAAATACCCTTCCGCTAGTAGAGTAAAAAACAATGAAAGACAAGTGTGGAAAGTGTCATGGCGTGGTTAGGGATGAGTTCACGCCGCCTTTTACGACCCTTTGTCACGCACTTGCCACTTGAGCCACTCACCTGTTGGCCACTCTCTCTCTCTCTTTATCCTCCAGAAGTGTTCCATTTAGAAGTGGATGCTCGTTCTATAGATACCCCTGCCACACATGCATAGCCCTCTAACAAACGACACCGAAATGGTTATTTTTTCTATTGTATTATGTTTGAGCCAACTATTGACACAACTGTCATGAAATGGTGGCGGTGCTGCTGCTGCTACTGCTGCTGACTAGCTTTATTCGTGCTTTTGTCGGTTTTGCTTACAATTTCGAATGGAGACAGCTCGGCATTCTATTTATTTATCTGCTGTTTTGCTTCCGTGTATGGCCCCAGAGACACCCGCCAGAAGCAAAAGCAAAAGAAGCTAAGAATGGAGCTGCATGCAGCAGCAGCAGCAGCAGCAGCATTGTGTGCCGCCGGAGTCGGGTTGATTGACGTTTGGTTTGGCAGCCGCTGCCACACAAAACGGAAATTAAGAAAATCTGCTTAGAAAAAAACTCTCGTTCATCGCCTCAACTGTCATAAAATATAAACAAGGATTCGGAAAGTTATGAAACGTAAAGCAAAATGACAACAAAAACTGTTGAAAATTCAGCAGATGGAGGAGCTGGATGCCGGCACATGGAACGGTACAGAGGCTGTACTTGTAAGGACCGGAAAATGTTTACTGCGATTCGTTAGTATCCGATGGAGCAAGCATCCTTTAACCTTTAACCTGGGTCTTTGTTTGTGCGTCTTGCGTCGAGCTTTAGCGAGCGTGGAAGCAAAGACATGTACCTTATGCCTAGAATACTTCCTTTTGGCCACAGACCTTATCGTGCTATCACTATTTTAAGCCACTGAAATAAGCCTTAATTGGTCGTTATTAAATTATATTTGGATTTGATTTTGTTCATCGATGGCTAACCATATCTGAAGTGCACAAAAGATGGCCATTGAAGGTTCCATTGAAAGCGGAATCCACGGGTATAGGAATCACAAAAAGCAGCTCAAGAAATATTCTTTTGGAAATTTCTTCTTCAACAATTGCAGCATTCATTCACTATCTTCCCTTTCTATACCCTTTCTTTGCCCTTTTCTTTTCCAAAAGCAAAAGCAAATAAAACTAATCCTCTGCCTTTTTGTGTCTTACAGAATCGATTAATGCCAGCATCGATCCCAATGGCGGGATACTTATAGGCGGTGCCCTGGGTGGCGGTGGTGGTGGCGGCGGCAATGGACCCACAACCGCCAATGACAAAGTCCTCACATCGCTGGAGAAGCAGCTGCAGATCGAGATCAAGGTGAAGACGGGTGCGGAGAACATGATCCAGTCGCTGGGCGCCGGCTGCGACAAGAAGCTGCTCGCGGAGGCCCACCAAATGCTGGCCGATTCGAGGGCCAAGATCGAGTTTCTGCGGCTGCGTATCATCAAGGTCAAACAGAACCGTGAGCAGGCCGACCGCCTCAGGGCCACGCGCCAACTGATGGACGACGGTCAGCCGCAGAGCCTGGAGACGACGCTGGAGGAGCGCATCGAGGAGCTGCGTCATCGGCTGCGCATCGAGGCCGCTGTCGTGGATGGAGCCAAGAATGTCATACGAACGCTGCAGACGGCGAATCGAGCGCCAGACAAGAAGGCGCTGCAGGAGGTAAGTGCCAGGCCCAGTCTCAGTCCGCCCCCATAGGAATAAGAATACAGCGGGGCTAATCATATGGTAGGCTAGTCCTAGAGTTAATTAGATCTGGCCAGTGGCCAGGTAAGCGGAACGCGTCTCATATCTGCCTCTCTTACGCCTTACGCTCAGGTGTGTGCCATATGGCCACACGGCGTATGATTCATATGAAACGTATACGTATACGTGATTTCTGTCCGAAAAAAAAAACACCATGAAACGAAACGGCGAAAAGGAACGAGAAGCGAGAAGCGAGAAAACGAGGCTAATTATGCGGCTGTTTCTGTTCGTTTTCTGTTCGTTTTTCGTTCGTTTTGGTTCTCATTTCGAATCTTTTTTTCTGCCTCCCAATTGCACTGCCCCCTGACTGTCGTCTCATTAATTTAATGGACGTGGAATGTGTCGCATTTACTTGGACGAATATGAAAATGATTTTGGCAAGTGTGCCCCCAGGGCCTGCCCTAATAATTTTCTAATGAGTATTGGGAACGGAGAATTTTGTTCATTTTTATGTGCAGTTTGTCAACATAACAGATAAACGATATATATTAGATCTATTTTCGGTTAAATATTCAAGATTACAAAGAAATTTCAAACTCAGTAAAAAAAAACAAAAAACAAAAAAAAGATTCTTAAATTTTGGGAAATGGGAAAACTCTGCCGAGAAGTGTCCAAAGATTCGATGAATAAATTTAATTCCCAGGAATCGCTTTTGGGCCAATGTATTCCTGGAATACAGAGCATTACGACAGAGCCATTCCCCTACCTATTCCCGGCTGCATTTCCTTTGAAAAGTGTGCGACAATTATCGCCAGAGTACTGTTCTAATTTCCCAATCCATTGAGAGACATCTACAATACTCTTCTGTTTTTTTTGTGCGTGTCTTTTGTTGATTTCCCAATGTGCTGTGAGCTGTGTGCTGTGCGCGTTTCCTGTCGCGTGGCTCGCTGAGAAACGAATCTCTCGGTGATTTATCTGTTGGCTGTTCGGTCTACACTCCACACTAGCTACACTGCTAGACTATCCACTTCCGCAACAGTTTGGATTTCTGGCCTAAATATTCTATTTGCAGGCAACATTCCCATTGCCATTGCGTTGGCCCGTTCTCATATTTATTTGTTTTGCGGCTTCTGCGGCGACGACGGGCGACGCCTGTTGCATCTGTCGGCTGGAGTTGATCTCAAGAGGAAATAATCGGATCACAGTGCGTTTCAGCAGCACATGACCAGAGCCAGTTCCATGAGATTCCACAAAAGTTTACAAATTTCCATCTGGCGCTTACATTTGTTGGGCCTATGGCTGTGAAACGCACTGTACATTGATCCCCTTGTCAGACGATGTACCATCGATGATGGAACTCTGAAGTTTTTATTCGTTCAGACATCAGCAAAATGATAAACAAATCGAATGAAAACTCTACTCTCCCTCCCCCACCCTTTTTCTGCCCTTTTGTGCCTCAACATTTTTAGAACTGCTGCTGCCAGAGAGGGAGAGAGAGAGAGCGAGAGCGCTATAGCTGGGGATATATCTAAACATCTGTTTAATCGGGCAACAAATCTCATGCGAGCGAGCGCAAAGTTCTCTGGCCAGTAGCAGGCAGCAGGCAGCAGCAGCATAAAATGTGAAAATCTCTTGCCGTTTCAATTTGTATCTCTGGCGAATTTTCCCAAGCAGCTTTTCCGCTGTTCCGTTCAGTTCAAGTTGTGTTGCCGTTGCCGTTGCTGCTGCTGCCTCTGACTCTGCCACCGATAGAGATTTTTTTGTGTTTTTATTACGCGTGGCGTGTACGTGTTCCGTGTTCCGTGTTCGCGTTCGTGTGCTGTGCTTGAAACTCTATGAATATGTAATAATGCAAAAATAAATTAACAATCCTATGGCAGAGATCAAAGGAAATCTCCACAAAGTTAGCCACATGCACCCACACATACACAGATGTATGAAAACAAAAGAAATGCAAGCCGACAGACACACCTGATCGGCACAACTCCATCCACATTACGCATACGCATACGCCGCATGTACCTGAAAATTGCGTAATTCTTTTTCTGAGCGGATCATCAGCCTCTCCACTTCACTCCACTCTCTCTCTCTCTCTCTCTCTCTATCTCTCTCTTTGCTCCTCTCATGATTTCTGTTTGCTGCTGCTCTCAAATTTTGAGTGGGGGGTTTTGTTTTGGGGTCATCTTGCAATTGTTAAAAATAAAAATCACATAAATTTAGACACACAATTTTTAAAAACGAAAGTGTGTTTTAGTTCCATTCCTCGTTTATACTGTGTCTGTGTGTGTGCGTGCGGCTAAAAATACGAAAAAACAAAAAATCAAATACAGTCAGAAGTGTCTATGAAGGATAGCTGTTGCATACCCCTTTTGAGGGGTAAACCCTAAGCGAAAAGTGTGGAAAACTGTTTATTATAGAAAAGTAAAAGTCGTTTGTTAAGTGGCCTTTTGGCCACTGTTCTTTGCAAATTTAATATAAATAAAGTGCTAGCTAAGGATATGTAATTTAATTGGAGTGTTCGTGAGCATCCCTCATAGTCACTGCTGACTGTAAAACGCGTATAAAATCCAATGATACAATAAATATTTGAATTCAGCTTTCGAGAACTATCAAAACGCTTTCCTCAAGATATATGTTATTTTTAGCCCGCAGTTATAAGAATATAACAGATCGTGTGTGAATATATATATATATAAATCGAATATATGCATATATATATAATATATCGTATGTAGTTGCCATATGTGCGTGAGATGGCACCTTGAGCAAACAATAGAAGTACCACAAATGTGTGCTAGCCACGAAAGTGCGTAAGGCAGAGATGGCCACGCCCACTGGGACTGCCTCATTGGCAGCTTCTCGCCCTGCACCGCTGCCCCACGAACTGACGGCAGAGTGGACAGTGCGTGCCCACCTGACCTTTGCCCGTGCCGGAGAGGCGGTGCACAAGGAGTGCGGTGTCGTCGGTGCCGCAGAGCCAGTGCAGCCAGTGCGCGTGGTCTACAAGTGGTGCACGCCCTGCGATGAGCCCGAAACCGAGCAGGATGTGGACAAGGTGAGTGCAGTGCCATCCAGTTATCCTTTTGCCCACCACCAGAGGCTCATCGCACGTTCCTCTTGCAGACTGCCAACACCATGGGGACCAGCTTCCGGTCCACCAACTCCTCGGCCACCACCACCAATGCGGACTCGGCCTTCGGCAGTCCGCAGGCGTCGCGTGCCCTCCCTACGGGCACAACCGCTCCAGGAGCCACGGCTCAGGTTTGCGGAACGCGCTGTCGTAGCACCTGCAACATCATGGTTTCCGCTGTCGCTGACTTCCTGCCACAGGAAGCAACCACAGGACCGAATGAGCATGAACCCTTCGTGTACCACAACAAGGTGCGAGCCCAGCAGCTGCGCGATGCCTTCTCCCAGACCAGCGACCACGAGGAGCCGCAGCAGTTGATGGAACCGCAGCAGCGTCGACGTACCGCCTACGAGCAGCGTCGGGCCACCACCGAGGCCCTCGTGAACTTTGCCACCAGGCGGCAGGCAGAGGAGGCGAACACCTATGTGGTAAGACGGGGATAATCCCCTGCCTCCCTCCTCCCCGCTCACTCTAATCGATTGATTTTTGCAGCCAACCTACTCGCCCACGCCCACCACGCCCTCGTCCACATTCAAGTCGGCCTCGATGTCCAGGATACCGGCACATGGAGGCCAACAGGGAGGCGGAACGCTGCCAAGGATGCCGCCCAATCTGGGGGAGAAGAAGCCTCGCACCGTCCACATCGATGTCTATTGCACGGGCTCCGAGGGGGATGAGGAGGCGGACGACGAGCAGCAGGCAGATGTGGAGGTCTCCTCCAGCTCCAGCTCGGACTCGGATCTGGCCGGGAGCAAGCGCTACGATCTGGACTCGAATTCCACGCCCCAAACGGTGCTGGACAACGAGCAGATGCTGCTGCGCCATCAGCGAATCTCCGGCGGGGCAATGCCCCGTCGCTTGGGCCATCAGAAGGAGCCGAAGGACAACCAGCAGATGAGCTTGGGCCACGCCATCACCAAATGCAGCACCGCCGAGGAGGTGACCGAATCGAAGCAGCTGCTCTTCCGCAAACACATCGGCGACCAGCGGGCGGCCAAGCTGGCCAATCTGCGGCAGAAGTACATGCGCCAGCCGAGCGACGACACCATCAGCAGCACCTACCCGAACTCCTCGCACTCGACCATGCCCCGGGATGCCACCTGCAGCAGCATCTCCAGCGTGGCAGCGGGCACCGACTGCGTGGACTCCTCGTGGAAGGAAACGGAAGAAATGGAAGAACACCCGATGGTCGGTTTTGGTCTGGCCAAGTCCGATAGCTTCGACTACGAGAACTCGCTGGATCGCCTGCGCATCAGCCAGATGGAGAGGCTCTGGTCGCGCCAGCACTCCTTGGATCAGCCCCAGAATACAGCCTCCAGCTTGCCACTGCCCCATCCACAACAGCATCCGCACCAGCAGCATCTGCAGACCATCAAAGAGGTGCAGTCGCAGCGCAGCTCCTTCCAGCGGAGCGACACAATCCCCTCGGAATCGGATGGCTTCTCCGACACGAATGTCTTCAACACCTATCCGGGCCGTCAGATATCGCAGCTGCAGCAGCGCAATCGTCCCGCTTTCCTGCAGTTCTTTGGGCCCTCAATCCATCCGAATCGTGGCCAGCCAACGCCGCCAGTCACGGCTCCCGTTCAGGCCGCCTCGGTAGCCAGTACGGATCCGTTTCGACTGCTCCATCCGAGCTACCGCTGGAAGAGCGAGGCACGCGATAATCTCAGCGCGCAGGGACCCTCTGGATCGGGGCCCTCGTCGGAGCGCAGTTCCCCGCAGCTGCTGTCAGCGGCCACCACTGTGGTGCGCTGTGGCAGCGAGGCGCCGCCCAGCACCACTTCGGCCAGCACGTTCGGCACAACGGTGGTGACTCCCTCCCCGCTGCCAGGGCGTCGCTTTGAGATCTCCCGCGACAGCCCGAGCGTGGCCAGCGAGGCCTCCACCGCCACCGTTTCGGGCTACACCCACGAGCATCTGGAGAAGACGCGACGCTTCGGGAATGTGGTGGCCATGCGCAAGCCCGGCCACCATGTGGGACCCACCAAGAATCCCAACTGCCAGTGCGAGAGCTGCCAGCGATGGCTGGCCGAACGCTTTCAGTTGCGCGGCCGAGCCTTCTCCTTGGGCGAGCGACCAGTGCTAAGAAGGCCGCAGTAGAGGCCTCTGGAAAGAGGATTACTTACACAAGTGTGCTTGAGTTTACCCCTTCCCATCTACCTGCCAGGGGCAGTTACAGTCGAGATCCGTCACTCGAATCAGTAATGCTTTCCCTCTCTTGCATTTAACACTTTGCAGCCCCAACTAACCCACAATGCCCCTAGCCACCACACTGGATGATTGAATTTCTATCGATTAGGTTTAAGCCACACGCGAATGTTCCTCTCACACACACACACACACCCACACCCACACACACAGAGATTGTGCGCTGAATCAGTTTAATGTTTAATGTTGTAATAAAGTCATCAAATACTAGTCTGTAAAGCAGAATCTGTGTCCCTTCTCTTGGGTTGGTTTTACTTACTTAATATATCAACTAATTTTACTATATTTAAATCTTTGACTGATGATTAATACGCTTTTCCCTCTTCATAGGCCACTGGACGCTTGTCGGAGTCGTCGCGGAAATTGGATCTCTTGCGCTATTCGCTGGATCTGCGACGCCAGGAGCTGCCCGTGGACTCGCCGGCGGCGCAGCAGCTGAAGACGGAGCTGCAGATTGTGCAGCAGTCGACGTCGCCGGTGCCCGTGACCTACACATCGCTGCAGACGGGGCAGGGCTTCCTGTTGGGGGGCAAGCCCTACCAGTCGGTGTCGTCGCGGGGGGGCTGTGCCAGTGTGACGGGCAAGCTGGAGGTGCGGCTGATGGGCTGCCAGGACCTGCTGGAGGATGTGCCGGGGCGGTCGCGACGCGACAAGGACAACAGCTCGAGTCCCGGCGATCTGCGCAGCTTCGTCAAGGGCGTCACCTCGCGCAGCAGCTCCAAGAGCTACTCGGTGAAGGACGAGACCTCGTTCGAGATCATGGCCGCCATCAAGCTGGACAACATCACCGTGGGACAGACCTCCTGGAAGCCCTGCTCGCAGCAGGCCTGGGACCAGCGCTTCTCCATCGATCTAGACCGCTCCCGAGAGCTCGAGATCGGTGTCTTTTGGCGCGACTGGCGCTCCCTGTGCGCCGTCAAGGTACTGCGGCTGGAGGAGTTCATCGACGATGTGCGCCACGGCATGGCCCTGCAGCTGGAGCCGCAGGGACTGTTGTTCGCCGAGATCAAGTTTCTCAATCCCATGATTTCGCAGAAGCCCAAGCTGCGCCGCCAGCGCATGATCTTCAACAGGCAGCAGGCGAAGAACATCCCCCGGGCCAAGCAGATGAACATCAATGTGGCCACCTGGGGTCGCCTGCTCAAGCGGAATGCCCCCAACCATGTCCACATGGGCACGGGCGAAGCCCCAGGCGCTGGGGCCGGCTCTCCCCTGGCCCCGGGCCGCGACTCCGAGTCGCCCATCTCGAGGACTCCCTCGTCGGATGCCCTGGTGGAGCCGGAGCCGTATACGCCCGGCGAGCAGGCCCAGAATCTGGAGTTCAATCCGGATGCGGGCATGCACGAGCACGTGGAGACACCCGGCGAGTACCCGGATCCGGCGGCCAGCGGGCTGAGTGGCATGCGGCCACTCTCCATGCACATGCAGGGCATCAGCGTCCTGCCACCCGACTCACCGCCCGTCTCCGCCGCAGCAGCAGCAGCAGCTGCCGCCGCCGCTGGCAGACCCAACTCGCTCATCATACAGATGCCGCCGTCGGCAGGAGGAGCGAAGGCGCCAGCGGTCATCGGTGGACGCACGGCCGCGCCCACAACGGCGCCACCGCCGCCGCCCTTGCTCAAGTCATCGACCACCACGCCGGTTCTGGACCAGGAGGTGAGTGATATTCAGAGATTACCTACGTACGACCAGGCCCGTATACAGTTCACCCTTCTACCAACTTGTGTAAAGACCTTCATGTATATATAGCTGTGTTCCCGTAGCTGGTTTGATCGTTGTGCCTGCCACTTGCCACTTGCCACATGCCACTGCCACTGCCATTGCCACCTCCTCTTGCTTCACTCCTATCTCATGTACATACTCACCCACACACACACATAAACATATGTAATCTGTACAGTTATCGCATCATTATCCCTTGGTGTTGGCTTTTGTATTATTGATTGTACATACAGAAAAACAAACATACATTTATTATCAGACATGTAAGCTTTTAGTAAGTATCCAAAGACCCCCCTCCATGCAGAAGGATCCATGCAGATGTTGGGTCTGGCAAATGATCAACAATGCCATCAACGTTCTGGTGGGAATGTGGGGCGACGATCCAATGCGAACTACAGCCAAAGGGAACACCGGAACCTGTATGACACTTACTTATCCATTACCTGAGCACTTATTGAACAATTAACATTGTGGGCAGTGTTGAAAAACTCTGCACAGAATTTTTCAAAATTCCGCGCTGCGCTTTTTCATTTTAAAGAAATTCGAAGCAATTTTGCCTCTTCGACTGTTTTATGTATGCATTTTTTCCAACACTGATTGTAATAGAAATCAGATTAAAGCAATCCCCTGGGCAGTCTTCTGTTCTTAAACTGAATGTCTTGGATCTTAGAAGTTAGCTCTCTGATTGACTCCAAAGCATATCCGAATCAGGATTCTTCTTTTTTGGCTTTGAAGCTATTACAGCTGTTTAAAAAGTAAAATAGTGTTGGGAAATTTGCAGTAAATGTAGGGTAGTGTCATACGGGCAGTGGATTTGGTGCTGCCGTTTTATCTCTCCATCTACATTCATCATCATCATTCCCTCCTCGCTCTCCGATTTCTCTCTCTTCCTCTCACTCACTCTCTCTATTCCTCTGTGCGAAAGAAGCTTATTTCTCATCCTCTCTAATACACTCCCCCCACTTTCTCTCATTCCCTGTCTCTTCTTGTGCTTTGTGCTGTCCTTCCTTGCTCTCTATCTCTTTCTATTTCTCCGCCTCTCTGCCTGTGTGCGTATCTGTGTGTCTGTCGTCCCTGTCTCCCGTCATCCGTCTGTCATGATCTCCGTTAATCACCGACAGCTGCAGGATGCCTTGCATGAATTCGATTTCCTCTCCGACATGGACTCGCGTCCGACCACGCTGCGGCGCCTGCTGAAAGAGCGGGACATGGAGCAGCTGCAGCTGGACCAGGAGGCGCTCGAGTCTCTGCTACTGCAGCAGCAGCAATCCGAGCAGCAGGCCCTGCACCAGAGGCAGCTGCAGGAGCAGCAGAGGCTCCAGCAGTTCCAGGAGGCTCAGCGTCAGGCCATTCTCGAGCTGTGCGAGCAGCAGGAGAGGGAGAAGGAGCAGCAGCAGCAGCAGAAAGATCAGGCCAGACAGAAGGAGAAGCAGCTCCAGCATCAGCAGAAGCAGCGCATGATCGAGCAGTGCATTGCCGAGTCCTCCGAGTGGGCCAAGCAGCGCCAGAGCCAGCCACCGCCACCGCCTCCTCCTCCGCTGCCACCCACCCAGTCCCCGCTCATGCGCCCGCTACCGCTCTCGATCTCGCCAGTCAGCCGCCCAGTTACCTACCCCTGCCCCAGCCACAGCCACAGCCAAAGTCCACTCGCCATGCCACCAACAAACCAATTTCAGTTGCAGCACGATCCTGCCCAGGCCAGCAATCGCTTTGCCGCCGTCGAGGATCTGTCGCGGCCATCGGCTGTGGAACAGCAGCTGCACCGTCCGGTGCTGACCATGCCGCCGGTGGTGCTGCTGGGCGGCCGGGAGGAGGACAGATCGGTGCCGCCCTCGCCCCTGGTCGAGTATCCCGAGGACGATGACGAGTATCTGTACAGGGCCGATGGCGGCGGGGGCAGCCGGCATCTGCTGCAGTCCAGCCACAGTTCCAGTGCGGGCGATCGTTTCTGTGTGGAGGTTAGGAGGTTTTTCATTTGATTTCTTTTTTGCTTTTGGTTTGGAATTTGCATTTTTGTTGGTTTAATTTCGTTGATTTGGTTGTCCGGTTGCAGGACGGGGCCACCCCGGAAAAATACCCCTAGGGCAGACCCTCGCCCTGAAAACCGTGCAATTCAATTTATTTAATATTATTCACTAATCCGCAAAAGCTTTATCGTTTCTTACATTTATCCGTTTGTGGCCTGACACGATTTTTGGGTTTTTTATGTTACCGTTAATGTTATCGTTTTGTGCCGTTATTCGAGGAACGAATAAGCGGTGAAAAATTCAGAAACTGTCCATAAACCATTCATAAAACATACTCATGCACACGACAACAACAACAAAATGCACTCACATTTGTTCGAATTGTACTTAACATCGCGTTTACCAGCACTGCTTTGTAGTGTTAACAGTAGTAACATAGTGTTGAAAGCACTGATAACAGTTATTTCTAGTAAACAGTTTAACTAACAGTTAATCGACCTGTAGAAACTCCCTCTAGAAGCTGTTTGTAAATAAAACCAATGCTCTACAAATTAAATTGTTAATTAATTACTACCCCAAACGACTTGAGAGCTCTGAATATTATTGAAAATCTATCGGTACATAATCCCAGCGATTAGATATCCAAAAGTGACAACTTGAAGCTCTTTAAATAGACACCTTTCTATTAAATAGAAAACAAAAAACAAAAAAAACCAAAAAGATCACAGGGAAAGCAGGGAGAGGGCCGAAAGTGCGCCACTTCACGTGCCAAAAGGCGATTGAGTCCCTCCCATAAGCACCAAGCACCAGCACACCAGCACCTCCTCACACGACATTCATTTTCCACGACATTGCAGAACGTCAACGTTCCCACATTTTCCATTTCATTTAAGATGTTTACCACCTACATGTACATGTATATAGTATGTATCTCTTGTCTTTCTGTGTGTCCCCGCCCCCACCCATTTATGTACTCATTCATATACTGGGGGGGCGGCTGGCTATGCGCTGTTTTCACATTTTTCTATCCTATCCGCTGGCCCACGTCTTACGTAGCATTTTGGCCATTTTTAGACCCAAAGAACGACGCAGAAGCGCCTAAAATGCTAAGCGACCATTTGCCTGGCCTCTGGTCATGACTTTGGCACTTGTTTGCCTTCAGTTGGCCACCGTTGCCGCCGCCACTGCTACCGCTACTGCCCTCGGGGTATAGCATCCGTCGATCCGTCGATATCGAACGGTTTTTGTTGTGTGGCCATGTCGTGACGTCATGATTGTGCCAGCATTTCACACACTCGCGCAGGTCCTGAGGCAAATGTTTGCAGTGCAACTCCAGCAACAGCAAGTGCAGCAGAAGCATCAGCATCAGCATTCCCATACTCATTTTCATAGTCTAAATGTGTCGCCAAATTGGCCAATCCGTCAGCTGTTGTCCACATCCGCACCTGCCATATCCGATGCACCATCTGCTGTATGTTTTGTGTGTCCCCCGTTGCCCCGCCGTTGAGTACCGCAGCTCTTTGAACCACAATCCTCTTGCAGGCGCATATCAGTCTTGTACATATCACACTCGAACCCATCGATGCCAGCTGCACCACCAGCTGCCTGATAGAGGAGGTGGCCGAGCCAGAGCCACAGCCGGAGACAAAGGCGGTGGCAGAGGCCCAGACCCACTCTCAGTCCCAGTCGGAGGCATTCGTTGAGAGTGTGTTGCTTGAGACAGTTGTTGAAAAGTTAGACAGTTCGACGAGTGAAGAGGAGCAGCAGGAGCAGGTAAAAGCCCCCAAAGTACAGGCAGACTACCAAATAAACATCCATGCAGAGCTCTCAAGTTGTCACCACAAATAGTGATCTAAATTTACCCAGAATAATCCCAAACCAATCCGCTAACATCTCCCATTTCCTTGGCCACAGGTAATACCGCAGTTGGGAAAACTCTATGTGGGCAGCAATCAACAGCAGCAGCAGCAGCAGTATGGACAGTCCTCGCCCATCATCCAGGAGCCGCCGACTCCGACCATCTATGGAAACAGTGCGGCTGCTGGCGCCCCACAATTCCCGCAGCCAACACAGCGCCAGGACAAGCTGCAGCAGCAGCAGCCTGGGCAGCAGCCCATCTATGCGAATCAGTACGAGCTGAATGTGGCCAAGGCAGCGGCAGCCGCCTCTGTGTACACGCCCACGCCCAGCTCCTCATCGACGAGCAACACCAGCCAGCAGGGGCAGCGCAAGAATGTGGCTCGGGGACTGCAGTTCCGCGAGACTGGTGGTCACGATGCCAGCCGACTGGGCAAGTCACAGCCGCCTCCGAATGCTGGCATGCTGTCGATGGACAACTTCCGGCTGCTGAGTGTGCTGGGCCGGGGACACTTTGGCAAGGTGATACTGTCGCAGCTGCGCAGCAACAACCAGTACTACGCCATCAAGGCGCTGAAGAAGGGCGACATTATCGCCCGCGATGAGGTGGAGTCGCTGCTGAGCGAAAAGCGCATCTTCGAGGTGGCCAATGCCATGCGCCATCCGTTTTTAGTCAATTTGTATTCGTGCTTCCAGACCGATGTAAGTGCCACAATTAAGCTCAAAGAGATTTCCAATTCTTAACTAAACTTCCTCGACAGCAACACGTTTGCTTTGTGATGGAGTACGCAGCCGGAGGAGATCTGATGATGCACATCCATACGGACGTATTCCTGGAGCCGCGTGCCGTCTTCTATGCGGCCTGCGTTGTGCTGGGGCTGCAGTATCTGCACGAGAACAAGATCATCTACCGCGACCTGAAGCTGGACAACCTGCTGCTGGACACGGATGGGTATGTGAAGATCGCCGACTTTGGCCTGTGCAAGGAAGGCATGGGCTTCGGTGATCGCACGGGCACATTCTGCGGCACGCCCGAGTTTCTGGCTCCCGAAGTGCTCACTGAGACCTCGTACACACGGGCCGTGGACTGGTGGGGTCTGGGCGTGCTCATCTTTGAGATGTTGGTTGGTGAGGTGAGTCGAACAGGAAAATTCCTTCGTCTGTGTATGTGTGTGTGTAGATCGTTGGTTAACTGTATGAAATTCGCAATTTGACAGTCCCCTTTCCCTGGCGATGATGAGGAGGAGGTGTTCGACTCAATTGTGAATGACGAGGTCCGCTATCCGCGCTTCCTCTCACTCGAGGCCATAGCCGTGATGCGAAGGGTGAGTCTCATTCGCATGCTTTAGGAAAAATCAATGCTCATTGGCTAATCAATTGCATGCAAAAAATTACAGCTGCTGCGCAAGAATCCAGAGCGACGTCTGGGATCGTCGGAGCGCGACGCGGAGGATGTCAAGAAGCAGGCGTTCTTCCGCTCCATTGTCTGGGATGATCTGCTGCTGCGTAAGGTCAAGCCACCGTTTGTACCCACAATTGTAAGTCCATGCAGTCCCAGCCAAAGAGACTTTCGATATATATATATATATATATTTGTAGAACCATTTGGAAGATGTCTCGAACTTTGATGAGGAATTCACGTCGGAGAAGGCGCAATTGACGCCACCGAAGGAGCCGCGTCACCTCTCTGAGGATGAGCAGGTGCTCTTCCAGGACTTTTCGTACACGGCCGAATGGTGTTAGTGCGCCGCAACACCCCAACCGTATCCGTGTCCAGTTAGTCCTTATGGCTCACCAATGGGCCTAGCCCGATCGTTATAACCTTTGCCCTCTGCTTTTAAATGTTTACGAAGGTGGCTTCGCGTAATTATTGCTAGCTTAAGTGAATGTGAGTTGAATATTTAAACAAGAACGCCTCCAGATAATACCCATACAGGACATACATATATTATATCTATATAGAAACTATATATATATACATGTAATCAGCCGAGTGTTGCTCACTTGCTTACCGAAACAAGCATTAGCCAAATCCACTAGAGCTCCACTCTTGGGGCAGAGCAAGAGCATTTTTCGATCATCAATCAGCAGCAGAACAATCCCATCCCATCCAATTCAATTCAATACCCTTCCATCAGCATGAACCATTATCGCTTCTTTTAATTTCCTAACGCGAGAACGAGAATATATTGAGAATTGAGAATAGTCTGACGAACCCTAGGAAGACGGCCTTATACGCAACGTTGTAGATTTTGGACAGATTTTTGTGAGCCAGGTTCCAAATAGATTTTAAAGATGAAAATTATGTATACAAAGGCTATTTTACAAGCGCCACCAATAGAAGATCAGATCAGAGCGGACCGGATCGGATCAAAGTGGAGTAGCATATTTTCATAAAAAACATACAAGAACAAATTCAAGGATCCATTTATATATATTTTATACATATATTGCATGCACACCAACCCAGGAAAATGTCTTGATAAAAAAGAGCTCATCCTCTAAACATATTTTAAGCTAAGAAACGAAGTAGAAAAAGTGTGAAAGTGAGAGATAATACTTACAATTTTAAAGTGTAAACCCTGTAAATTTCTTTGCGTTTTCAAAACAACTCGGTCAGCCAATTGTCCGAGTTGTTTCATATATTTTAAAGCTACTTTTTATTATTTAAATTCATATACACACATACACACAACGCCTACACATTTGTTATTTATTATTATTATTGTACTTTACAAGAAACTGTATTGCTTTGAGCATTTTTATTCAACGATATATGGATTTCAAACGATTCGTTTGTATGCCCTCCAACAACAGAGAGACAAAGATAAAGAGAGAGAGAGAACGGTACGCTTTAACACGAAAAATAACCTTAATGCCGCTCGGGGTAGAGTCGAACCTCTCGTTGTCAGAGATGATGGGGTGGCATACAATCGGATTGTTGTTTCACTTAAGATCTATGCTAATTTTAATTTAATTTTTAAATTGTATTTAAGTTTGTAATAATCGATTATGGAAGCGTAGGCTAAGCTATCATTATGTGAAGATAATTACTGATAAATACGATTATGATAACGATTGTGCACCTGCACACCTCATGCAGATCAATATACAACCAAGCAGAAGCATATACATATATGAATTGTCATTACGATTATGATTATGATTGCATCCGCAACTTGCGGCCTGGAATATCGATTCATCACCAACAAACAATCCCCCATTCCTCCCCCTCTATCTGCCAAGTTGCGTGTTGTGCGTGTATCTCTTATTTATGCAACTATGATATGATTTTTAAATAAATGTATCTATCGCTATTGAATAAACGCAGTTTTGAGTCATCAAACAAGTTTGAAATTGGGTTTTTAATGCTTCACATAAATCTGACAGTCTGTAAACGATTGACTAAATAAATATACATAATCTTAATATATTGGGGGACAGCGTTTTCTAATATAATTTAAACATGTTTAGAACTTCTTTTCACTAAATCCTTCGGTCACCTGGTAATACAAAATGTTGCCTGTATTATCCACGATGGCCAAAAATATGTTACTGCAAAGGAACAATGAAAATTAACATTTGAAATCGTTAAAGTGTGGATTCCAAAAGCTTACTTTTTTCCAAATTTATCTTGCATTGCCTCAACCAGGCTGAAATGAATGCCCTTCGTATGGATCAAGGGTATGTAAGCAGCCTGTGTGTCCTCTTTACGCAAGTAAAACACCTTCAAATCATCATCGTAGTGCGGCTGCAAGTGGCCACATCGCTCATCTGAGACAAAAATTCGTTATAATGCTCATTAATAGTGCAATAATAGATTGACTTACCCCTTTTTAAATCGTTGTAAACCTGAAGAGCCAGGGCCGCTGTCAAATCATCGGGGCATACATTCTGAAAATCCCTCAGCTGAAGCTGCAATGAAAGTTTGAGAGTTACCGGAGGGATGCTGAATGCACCTGAGAAGGTGGTGCTCACCATGGCTGCAAAACTGTCGAATGCTTTTTCAACGCCCACTACGATTTGAGGAAGCCTTTGAAATGGAATACAATTAAAACACCGCAGCGTCTTATTGAAGCAATACTTTTGGGAAACAGCTGAACTACCTAAAACAACTGTTTAACAATAATACTTTGAAGACCAAATTGATTGTAGTAGGGATAGCTTAATTTAATTGATTGCACACTTTAATTGATACACGTTAATATTCTTAGACAAACAGTGCTTCAAAAACAACTGATGGCACTTGCCGCTTTAAAATTGCTGCATTTGTTGCGCACTTTAATTAAACAAATTATTTTGCTTGTTTTTTAGCAGAGCACCGCCTGACCCTCAGAAATATACCGAAATGTACCGTATCATTTTCAACATATACCGTAGATATACCGAGGAAAATCATATTCATCAATTTTGATATTCCATTAAATATTACTAGCTAGTTAAGACACTAATCACTGTACAAATTATTTTATCAGATAGATGAATCAGTTTTCTACAATGTGGCTTATTTTATTGACTCCTTGTTATGGGATTGTCTATAAAATAAGGTTTCAACAAAAATGTCTCTTTTTTACATGGGGACTACACAGTAACTACACATTTGCTACTTATCAACAACTTACATATATGTGGACTATGGCACTTTTTATACCCTTATATTCTTAAATTTCTGTTTCCAAGCTGCTTTTAAACTTAGGTGACTTGGGTAACAATGAATTTACTCGTATTGTCATGTTTATGCCATGTTAGATTCCTCTATATATGTATGTCTCGATCACGTTTGGTATCTGCAAACCATAAACTGCAAACGAAAAATTTAGTGCCATTTTCGCATATCTACTCATAATACAAAAAAAGTTCATAAAATCGATCAATGCATGCATGTAACACTTCATCATATCCCCGTTTTGTTTATTTAGTCCTTCGTGGCCAGGGTGAGCATTGTACGAGGCCGTTATAAAAAGCTTGCCAGTTTTCTCATATGGGCCAAGAGAGAGAGAATGAAAAACACTCTTCGACTCGTTTTAGCGTTTAAAGTATGAGCCTAAAAATACCCAAGAAATATGCCGAAATATGTTTCACGAAAAATACCAGTTTTTGCTTATTTTGGTATTTTTGTATTTCCGGATCTACGGCTACACTATTTCCAGGGTCGCATGATCTTTTTCTGTCTATCTGGCACCGCCTTACCCAGAGTAGCTAGTGTTGTAAGTCGTTTAAAGTTGGCGCTAATTTTGAATTTGAATGGGATGTTTCCTCTGGTAAAACGGAACTGATTAACGTGGTATTTAATGAGAGCATTTATTACTGCCATAGAGAGAGAGAACATTTCATTCGCTCTTTGATGCGTATGTTTATGGGTAAGAAGTGAAATCAAGCGTTGATTGTCTGTTAAACGCCTCATCAAAATATAATCTTTGTATGCAGACATTGTCTTTGACTTTGTCTAGACAAACAGACAGCACTGCCACTTGGGCCCTTGACAGTACAGTCCGCCCCAACTCCACGCATAGACAATGTAGACAGGAACAAGGCAACAAATTATGCTAAGTAGATGCAGTTGGCCAAGGACTGAGGAACGGGCTCTGAGGATATGCATGGCAAGCAGTTCCTAAGGCATCTGGCAAGACCTTCCCCACAGTGCCAGTGCCTGGCCAAGTGATAAGGGTTTGGCAGCAGCCCCAGCCCAAGGGTTTCCATCGCACACAAACTCATATGGGTATGTGTCTGCATATCAATGTGTATGTACTGTCTGCGATAAGCAACTTTTTGCTTCTCGAAATACTCACAGCCACAGCCGGCTCCACCGCAGCTCTATGCAGATTAGTTTGCAGTTGGATTCGTTACTGTGGGATGGGGCCGGAAGGTGGAGCTAAGGAAGCGGCGGCTCAAGGTATTCAATTAGGATGTACCAGGAAATCAATGCGAAGATGAAAAGATCTTTAGACCACAATGGCAGAGTACAACCGACAGCGTAGACCAGATGCTGCGGTCGATGGCTATTATGTAGCTTGTCAATGACAGGGCCATAAGACGGCGCACGGCGCACAGTGGGAAGCCACGCTCAGCTGCCTTCCCAGCCGAGGCAATTACAGTGGCTACAACGGCAACGACAGCAATTGATACAGTCCGCACCCCCAACGGTTAGTTCCATGTGTGTGTGTGTGTGTGAGGGTGAAGGGGGAGGTATTGCTGGTTGCTTGCGGTTACTTAATGCTGTTTACGGTCCAGAGTTTGTCCTGCCGGAAGTTTGTGCCGGAGGGTGTGGGTGGGTGTGCGTGCAGTTGGCCATAATATTATTTGCACTTGCTGCCCGACTGCCCTCTACGTTTATCCCTGGAACCGAGCTCACGGCACGGCAAACTTGGCCATAACCATTGGCAGGGGGCTAAATGGCCAGTTGAAGCATTTATGGTCCACAACTAGTCGTGTTTGTGTGTGTGTGTGTGTTTGAGTGTGGGAGTTTCATTCGTTCAATTTCTTCATCTGCTTGGCTGGCTTGTTGGCTTTAATTAAAAATACTTTCGCCTCGTAAAGTTCAAAGGTGAGCCCGTATATGTGTGCTATAAATTGTTTTTATTTCCCCAGATGGGGAGGAATCCACCTGGCCGCAATGAAGCTGTGGAACAGCTGTGTGCCTCACAGAGAATGCAAATGGTTGTGCTCTCTGTCTCTACCCTGGCGCCACTTAACATATTTGCCACATACTGGTATTTGCGTTGCACCTTTCTGCTGGTCATTTGCATGCCACAGCAGAGCACACTGCTGGGCACCTGGACGTGTCAGAGCTTGACATTGGCACCACTCTCTGACCGCTTTGAGGGCAGCCGCCGGGAGAGTTTTAATTGAACAACCGGCAACAGCTCCGCGGGGATCAATGGAGATTTATTGGATCGACGTGTCAGTTGTGCTTTGGTTGCTTTTAAATTTGTCCCCCAGCTCTCCCTCTCCCTCTCCTTTTCTTTCAATGTTTCTTCCCCTCTCACACTCTCCATGGATTTCATTTTGTTGTGTAAGCAAGAAATTAAAGTTTTATTCCATTCACTTTTACACTGCAGTCAGAATGGTATTTGAATTGCTTTTGCACTTGTTCTGAATCCTTTAATTTGGGGCTCAGACTGGCAGAGCGAATCTGCACTTACTCCTCATCTTAAGAGAAGTTTTAGAGTACTTATTCACATCTTTTCCCTATTTTTCCAGGTTAGTAGTTTTTTCACCACTTATTCTCCGACTTTAGGCCAGAGTTTGAGTGATGAATAATTTTCATTTTTTTTTTTCTTTCTTGTTCATCTTTACAGCAGAGGAAATCCCCAAACAATTTGGGAATGTCATTGGCAATTTAATGCGAATTATGTACCCAATTGAGGATTACAACTTTGGCAGTGGCATTCATCCATTTCATATAAGAATATAAGAATTTAACCGCACTTCTGCCGACTGACGCTTATTAAATTTGTCTCTGGCCCCGTTAATGACAATTTAAGCGCCCTAATGGCTTAATGGCCATCATTGTGGCACCGAGTCAAAATGATTTTGCCGCATCATTGGCAATGCAATTAACTCCCAACCATTTGGGTTTATTTTTCCGCCTGTCCGGTTGTTTGTGTGTGGGCGTTTCGTCGCTGTCCCTGGGTAATTAGGAGGCGACTTTCCTGCTAGTTTTCGTCCGCTTGTCTGTTTGTGTCTTTTAATGGCTCTTCCCTGACTGTGCGCGAAATTTCATTAAAACTCTATAATTGCATGACAAGACAAGATTTTCGCACTCAACGTAGGAGAGGGTGGAGGAGGGCAGGAAGTGGTGAAACTTTTTTGCTTATCCCTTTCATGTTCACGCCGCAAGCTGAGGCAAATGGCGTGGAACGCAATTGGTTTTCATTCAATTGGTAATTGAATGCTCTGCGGCAAAGATATGATTCGATAATGGCAAATAGATTGATTTATTTTGACGATTCTTCTGAACTCTGCAACTCCAAAAACTCTCCATAATCCAAGACAATTATCTGCGACGCAATTACCATTTGTCTCTTTCTCTTTCTAGCCCACACACGCATCACTGCAGACGAACACGCTCCACGCGCGCTCTCATTGTCTCACTTCTTTGACCTCTCTGAGCGAGACGCTTTACATTACACACTCTCTCACTAGCGCGAGTACAGCAATGGGAGGGGTAAATGACCAGAACAACGGTTAATCAAGCCATAAGATGAGACACAAGAGAAGGAGAAGTGAACTCTTAAACAGCAGACAGACCAAAATATATACATAGAGAATAATAATGAATGGCCTGTTTAAACGCCTCGATTCCCAATTTGAAGTCTTGATATCCGTTCAAAGGTAGCAAACTAATTGCCATGCAATTAAGTAAGCTATTACTGCCCTTTTAATGATTAATTTTTGATTTCCCCTTCGGGCCAGAGATTGAAATGCAAGTGCAGCAATCAGTCATGTGACCAAGGAATGCAATTAATTGCATTGATTCAAACATATGTAAGTTATTTATGCACACGACTGCATCAGAATAACTAAGACATTTGTAATGCAAAAAGCACACACATCACATGGATACGGGTACGGATACGGGGATAAGTAAATGTAATTTACTGGGCCTTTGGCCCTGACAAAGTCCAGAGATACAGAGATACAAATTAGAGACAAGTCAGATACTGTGGCAATATTGTAATTTGAGGCTGCGGTGGCCTAAAAGCAAATTGAATCTTGGTGTTTAGACTACAGCAGGAGGCACTTTCAGCCTGATAGAGTTTCACAAAACTTTGGCCTGGGATGCTGGGCAGAAGAGGCACAAACAACTACATACAATACGTACAATGTATATGTTTCCAGAAATTATACAAAAGATAATGCTGCTGCACAATTGGATTTGCAGTTGAGCATTGCAAATGCAGCACACCAGTGCACACAAGGATTCATTTTCCACTCGACTGAAGTTGAGCGCTTTTCGCATTTCAGCAAAATTTCAATGCGACAGACAACAAGGACTTAGCACCCGGGATGGGGACGTTTCCAGGACAATGGTCCGGGCCAGACAGCATTGTCACCGCTGCTGCTGCTGCTGCTGCTGCTGTCCACTTTGGCAGGACCTTAAACATCCCCATTGAGTGACATCTATCACTGCGAGGTGGCCCCCCCGTTCCAAGCCGGAAGAGTTTACAACATTTGTTAGTTGTGCTGCTGTTGCTGTTGTTGTTGCTATTGCTGGGGAGAATTCATTTGCGTAATTAGTGGCCAAGTGGCATCCACAATGTAGCAGAGGCAACCGCACATCAGACCACAAGGTAAGTGCTTTGAAATCACCGCAAAGTCTCTTGATTATTGGCATCAACCTGCAGACAGCCGAGGTCAGCAAAAATCCCATAGCATACTTCTCTGCGGCAAACTGGAAAGGAGTGCAGGGAAGCAGCAGGAGCAGGAGCAGGAAGGATAGGAGTGCTGGAGGAGTGGCATCACAGCTTCATTCGGCTGATTGTCATGGGATTGTATGGCATCCCTTTCAATGGGAAGCTAACGACAACTTTGTTGAACAGTAATCCCCGTTATATACATAGAGACTTACTCGTAAATATTTTATTGCAGTTTCTATGGTAGTTTTTCTCAGCAGCAAGCATTTTCCTTAACGGGATAACAGGACACTCTGTCTGTCTGTCTGCCTGTGCTCAAGCAAATACTTAAATTTAAGTATTTAAATTAAAGGAATTTAATTGTTTCTTTATTATTAAGCTATCATGGGTGACATCGTTTAAATGAGATTTTCGATGCATATAAATTATAAAGGGCAATGGAAGTTCAGTTCCATTGAAGCGTTATTTTCATATTACGGATTATTCAGTTGGGCAGCGCAATGTAATTTTAATTCCGCGCAAAGGTCTCCTTCAGAGTTGTAATTGATTGCATTGCACTGCCCCCTGCATAGACCCGTCCAATGGCGATTTAAGGCTGAGACCGTGGGCGTTGACGTGGATTAAAAAGAGTGTAATTAAATTACCTTTTAAACTTGTAAATAACTTAATCAGAGGGGAGGGAAAGTGGTAAACTTAATTTGCAGACGACCACGCGCCGCAGAGAAGGAGGTAGCTACGGAACGGACATTCCCCTGAGCTAAGCGCGTGCTACGTGCTAAATTACAAGGGCACGCACACACTGGCGGCACGGCACGGCACGGCACCCCAACCCCCCCACAGGAACACACGGAAAAGCGAAAGGAGCAACAGCAGAAACAGAAGCAGAAGCAGAAGATAGAGAGGAGCGCAGTCAGTGGCAAGTAAGCAAAACATAGCAAATCAAAACAAAAACACACTATTTACCGGCAAAATGCACGTGACATCCATCGGGGCAAGTTTCGTTCAATCACGAGACGTTCCATCCTTCGTCCAGTGCCGAGTGCAAGCGCACGAATCCCTTCGAGCCGAGCCGAGCCGAAGCTGCGCAGAATCCAACGAGGACTATAAAAGCGACACTCAGCCAGCATTCGACGCATTTGGTTGTCGTCTGTTGCAAGGAAGTGTTCAAAGTTTTAATCACAGTCAAAGTGCCAGTGCACAGTGGAACTGAACGCAGTGAAAGCAAAAGTGAACCTTTAAAGACACCCACAGTGCATACATACATACGTACATACGTGTATGTGTGTGTAGATGGGGATTGGGATGCATGTGTGAGGAGTGTGTTTATGCAAGTGTTTGACGTTGAGTTGGCCAAGTGGATTTCTATTTTAGCGCCATTGAAAGGCAGCGTGTGAAGAAGGGCTGCGTTGTTGCCCCCGTGCTGTGGCATTAAATTCTGCGGCAAGCGTTGCATGTAACTCTGACTGGCATTTAAGGAGACGAGTGCAGCTTGGACACGCTTTAAAAGGCGCCACTGAACGGCATTGAGACATTTTGGTAAAGTGCCTAAAGGTCCTGCCTCCTCGCGGTGACAGCTCAATGTCAAGCGATAGATTTGCTAGTGCATTGAGTGATTGACAAGCACGAGACAAGCAGGGGAAGAGACTCTTGGCCAGTGCACTCTGATATTTGGGCAACTTGTGTGCGGGCAGCAGGCAGCTGGACCAGGAAGTGGCAGCCATGTGGAGCAGGCAACGTATGCGCCATAAGCCGCTTTGGGCCCTAATATCCTTGACCGTTTTGCTGCTGGTCTTGGATAAAAGCAATGCCAACACGGAGACAGATGAGACCACCAGCACATCGGAGCCAGGTGAGTTTTAATTGGATCTACATACATACATATGTATGTAGATGGGTGTACAGGTGTTCAGGTGTGCGTGCAGTTTGACCTTCAGTTAGCATAGAAAGAAGGAAGACCAAAAATAGGATTATGACAGGCCTCAACAGGGCCTCCATCGATGTGCAGGCACTTTATTAAATGGGATTTTCATGCGATATTCACACACGCACACACACAACAGCAACAGCAACAACAACAACCAAACAGCCGTAAGGGAAAGCCACAAACAGACCAGGAAGCAGCAACAGCAACCAGCAACAACAACAGCAACAGAAGGGAAACAGCAACAGAAACACAGAGAGAGAGAGAGGAAAGTCCAAAGCGCAAAGCAAATAACTGGCAGCAAATGAAATATTTCACGGCATCTGCGGCACAAAGGCAATCAAAACGATGGCCCAGCGCTCGTTCGGTCCAGGCCCATGGCCATGGGCTGCCCTTAATCCCAATCAGAATCAACAAGCAAAAAGAGTGTGGTGAGGGGCGAGGGGGCTATTGGGAGAGAAAAAAGTAGGCGAAGAAAAAAAGCAATTGCACGAAAGCTCGTAATGAAGTATACGGCATGGATGGAAGAGAAGAGCAGGCAGCGGCCTTGGGCGGCTGGATAATAGATATTAATAGCGTCATGTGTGTCGTGCCAGAAGCGGCGAGTGGGTGGTGGGTGGTGGTTGGGTTAACATGCGAATGTAAATCAACCTCAAACGACAGGACAGCCTCACTCACACACAATTTGTTGCCAAGGACCCAAAAGCGTTGCGCATCAAGTAATTAATTCATTTCGACTTCGCCATCTCTGGGTCTTTCCTTCTCCCCAGCCTCTGCCAGCCCTATAGAGATTTCCCCCTTCGGCAAATCGAGGACGCTGCTGCTGCGACGCAAATGGTTCAGAATATTGCGACTTTCGTTTTTGGCTGTGACGCAGTTTGTTGTGTTCGCTTTTTGCGCCGTCACATTTTCGGTGGCAGGTACGCGTTGCACTTTCAATTTTCATTCGGGCAAATATTTTCCCAGCAAATAAACGAATGGAATTTCATTTACATGACCTTTCCCATAGAATTCAGAGCGGAGCGTCATTTAATTTTGACACAGGGCAAGAGGGAGAGAGGGGGGGGGAGACATGGATGAAATATGCAATAACCGAAATAGAGACTAAAAACCAAAAGAGACCAAGAGCCCTGCTGCCATGCCCTGCCATTGCATGTCCCATAAATCGCAGGGCACGCAGAAGGATGATGATGATGATGATGATGTTGGCTGGGTCACATGTCTCTGTGCCTGTCGCTTCCTTTGCCGCTTAGAACAAAGCTGACTCTGCATTATGCATGCAAACGTGGGAGGGAGACCACCAAAGGGGAAACTGGGTGTATAACCCAAGTAACGAACTGTCAAAATCGCAGTTACAGCAAAAAGAAGTTAACCAATGACAGAGTAGAAGCAGCAGCAGCAGCAGCCGCAGCAGTTGAAGCCGTAAAACATCGAAAAAAGAAAAAGCCAAAATGACAAAAAGTCGCCATGACATTATGCAATCCCTGTATGAGTGCCAAAAGATAAAGATTACTCGTCTTTGCTCTCTCTCTCTCTCTCTTTATTCCTTCCCTCTTGCATCTTGCATCTTCTGTCTTATTTCGTGCATAGCTGCAGGGAAAGAATAGCTTCGGGGGCAGCGCCCACTCGGATTTTGTGGGGCAAAGGAGTTGGAATGGAAATGAAAATAGAAATAAAATGGAAACTCCTTCAGCTCGACTGTGCATGAATGAATGATTTATGGAGCAGCTGTCGAGATGCCAACGATAATCGGGGCAGAAGCAAGTCCAAGTCTTCCCTCTACCAGAGCCCGCACAAAAAGTGTGTATACATATTTAACAAACAGTTTTATTAGCGACCAAATCACTTTCGTCGGACAAGCTTTACTCGAATGTTGTTCTTGATGCGCAGTGTAATGCCCACGTGGAAGACAATCGTCTTGGGATCGACCAGCGGTAGAATCTGAAACTTCTTAAGAATAACCGTCATCAGGGTTTTCATCTCTTGCATGGCAAATTTTTGAGCTAAAATTAAAAAGAAACGCAAACGATTAGATCTCCCTTTCGGGCTCAAGTCGAAGTCAAGTCAAGTCAAGTCCACTGACCAATGCAATTTCTTTGGCCCGCACTGAACGGAATGTAGGCGTAGGTGGGACGCTGCTGGCTGTTCTCCGGCAGGAAACGTTCCGGCCGAAACTCACTTGGGGCATCCCAGTGCTTTGGATTGCGATGGATGTCGAAGGTGTGTATGAGGATCTGCGTGCCGCAGGGCAGGATCAGCCCATTGGCCAGCTCCGTCTCCTGCACCGTTTGACGGCCCATCAGCGGAATGGGCGGAAACAGGCGCATTGTTTCCTTCAGAAAGTATTCCAGGTGCTTTAGCTTGCTCATCTGATTGTGGTCTAGATTGCTAAAGTCATCTGGGGCAGGGCGAAAGAGTAACCCGATATAAGAGTGGAGTTGGCTTGATGGACTCTCTGCCTACCCCTTAATGTGTTGCTCAATTTCCTTGAAGCAGAGCTCCTGCTTGTCCGGATACAGCGACATGTTCATCAGGGTAAAGATGAGAGTTATGGAGCTCACATCGTAGCCCTCGAACATCAGGGTGTCCACCTCTTCGCAAATGCCAGCATGATCGATCATCCCATCCTTCTCGGCACATATCAGGGTGTCCAGCATTGCGAATCGTTTGTGTCTGCTGATAAAACTGTCAACAAGAAAGTGAGCGAGGAGATTGGTATTTCCATGAAGTGAGATTCACTTACATATCATCATCGGCCGTCTGAGTGGATCTTCTGTAGTCCAGCTCCTCCTCGAGCAGTATCCGCCGCTTGGCAATGATCTCGCTGGAGAAGTCGTGGGCCACTTTCAGGTATGGAGCATACTCCTTGGCCGCAAACAGATTGTAAATGGTGTTGCTCCTGAAGAAGGGATTGCTCAGGCGCCTCACGAAACTCTGCTCGATCATGTGGAAGCTCTCCCGGTAGCGATCGCCCTTCTCGGCCATTTCATCCAGCTTCACGCCCATTGCAGTCTCTACGGGAATGAAGAGTATAAAATGGTGAATGGCGAATGATATTTTAAGGCTGCGACTTACCACAAATGCAGTTTAGCGTGAATCTGGGTATAAGTTCGCTCAGTGAGACGATGTTCTCGTCTTGGCTGGCAAACTGCTCCACAAACTTTACACTTTCCGCTCTGTCATCGTGAGTTATTGAGATGTTATCTTGCCTCATAAACTATTTCTGTGTGTTTGCACCCACCTGAAGATCTCCTGGAATTGGCCCAGTATATTGAAATGGAATGTGGGTGTCAGCATCCTGCGACGCGTATGCCATTTGTCTCCTGAAATAAGACCATTGGCTCAGGCGTTATCCAAACTATTCACCCATTGACTCACCTTTCGATGTTAGGAGACCCGTCTTCAGGGCTGGATGCAGAAAATTGTAGACAAATCCTTTGCCTATCAGCGCTTTCTGGTCGGTCAGTATCATCTCGGCAGTTTCGGCATCGATTACGTTGTAAATGGGCATGCCCATGCTATATCTGAGATAACTTTTACCCAGAGTCTTGGACAAGTCGCGCGCAAACTTGAAAACACTAGCTAAATATAAACGAGACAGAGAGAGAGAGAGAGAGAGATTGATAAGAGTGAGGCTTGTTTATAATTCAAATGTTTGGCCCCACCCACCGTTGTCTTTGCCGAACAGATCGAAGCTGTGTCCAAAGATCGTTCGGCCCTTGGGCGAGGGCACTATGCTCTCCACCGACCGGTCATCTCTCGTGTACACGCGCCGCGAGAAGAAGGCCAGAATGTAGTAGTCCTTGTTGACCTGGTAGAGCCAGTGAACGAGCACACACAGTGCCACCGTCAGCCACAGGGTAATCATCGCTACGCAACCTCACGGCTGGGCTTCCCTCGCGAAACTGCCATTCCGAGCGACTCATCCGAGTGGTGTCGCCTGTGCTTCTTTATAGCAAAAACAAAGCTGATAAGATAAGTTCGAGTAAACGTACAGGCGATTATACATGCATATATGTATGTATGTACATATATCTCGCAACGACGCTGTCGTTTTTTCAGCACTCTGTGTTCTGTGAACTGGTTGTACCATGGTTAGTTGGTGTACCCTTTAGTCAAAGTGCACACGGGGGGTTATTGCACACTTGATTATGATGCTATGTAGACTGTCCAGACTTTCCACGAATTGTGTTTATTTATTGGTTTGTGGTTTATGCAAGATTTATTGAATGGCACACAATATACATTTGTAAGTCCGAACAGAGGGTATCCAAGAGTCGAACACAACAAAATCAAGATCATCTAAAACTTGTTTCTTGTGGTTTATTCATCATGGTAATAGATTGGTAGACCCGACCCTTGATCCCAATCGAGATAGATTACTTTTAGCTACGTTTTGTTAACTCACTGCAGTCATAGGCGTAGCTTATGGATGCATCTAAACCTCTTAATGACAGCTGTTAAACTACTCTAATAGCCCGCACCAACGGCACCCTTCGCCTCACTTTCGCCTGACAAGTTTCACTTGAATGTTGTTCTGGGTGCGCAGTGTAATTCCCACGTTGAAAACAATCGACTTGGGGTCGATCAGTGGCAGAATTCGGAACTGCTTGAGGAGCACAACAATCAAAGTTTTCATCTCCTGCATGGCGAATTTTTGACCTAAGAGAAGGGAAAATTCAATCATTGAAAGGCCCAAAGTACGCGGCGAGCTCCAAGCAGCTTACCAATGCAATTGCGTTGGCCCGCACTGAACGGAATGTAGGCATAGGTGTGCCGATTCTGGCAGTTCTCTGGAAGGAAGCGCTCCGGACGGAATTCATTTGGAGAGTCCCAGTACTTGGGATTGCGATGTACATCAAAGATGTGAATGGTGATCTGGGAGTGCGCGGGGAGGACGAGGCCGTTGGCCAGCTCCGTCTCCTGAACGGTCTGACGAGCCATGATCGGAACGGAGGGGAACAGCCGCATGGTCTCCTTTATAAAGTATTCCAGGTACTTCAGCTTGCTCAGCTGATTGTGGTCCAGATTGTCAAAGTTATCTGAAAGAGTGGGAAGAGGAGGGTGTCTGGAATTGAGGAGAAGTTTACTTTTTCTGGTGCCTACCTTCTATGTGCTCTTCGATCTCCTTGAAGCAGAGCTCTTGCTGGTCGGGATACAGGGACATGTTCATCAGGCTGAAGATGAGGCCGATGGAGGTGGTGTCGTACCCTTCAAACATCAGCGTGTCCACCTCCTCGCATATTCCGGCATGATCGATGAGGCCATCCTTCTCAGCACAAATCAGGGTGTCCAGCATTGCAAACCGTTTCTTCCTGCTCACGAATCTGTGACAGAAACAGGGAGCTCCCTGTTACCAGAGATTCTCTCCACGATCTGATGCACTCACATGTCGTCATCGGCCGTCTGTGTGGATCTTCTCAGTTCCAGTTCCTCCTCGAGTAGCAGTCGCCGCTTGGCAATGATCTCGCTGGAGAAGTCGTGGACCACTGTCAGGAAGGAGTCATACTTCTTGGCCGCAAACCAATTGTAGATAGTCTTGTTCCACAGCAGGGGATTGCTCAGGCGCCTGATAAAACTCATTTCGATCTGGTGGATGCCCTCGCGGTATCGGTCGCCCTTCTCGGCCATTTCGTCCAGGTTCACGCCCATCGCAGTCTCTGAATGAAGGCAGATTGATTGACCAGACTCTCTCAGCTCTCTCTGTTCATCATCTGTTCACTTACCACAAATGCTGTTCAGAGTGAATCTGGGAATGAGTTCGCTCAGGGAAACGATGCTCTCCGCTTGGCTTTGAAACTGCTGCACAAACTTCAGACTTTCCGCTCTAACGAAGTGGATGAAGGGCATAAGGGATTGCCGCATTCAAGAGAACTGTCAAGGGAACTCACCTGAAGATCTCCTGGAACTGACCCAATATATTGAAGTGGAATGTGGGGGTGAGCATCTTGCGACGGGCGTGCCATTTCTTATCTGAAAAGGAGTGGGGGTGGGGATTGGCACAGGGTTGTTGGTGGTGTTCGTTCTTCCGATCGGCTAAGCTAACCTGAGGATGTCAGCAGACCAGTTCTAAGGGCGGGCTGCAGAAAGTCGTACACCAGACTCTTGGTTATCAGCTTCGGATGATTGAGTACGTTCTCGGCGTTCTCCGCATCGATAATGTTCAGTAAGGGCACGCCCATGCCATATTCCAAGTAGCTTTCGCCCATTCTCTTGGACAGCTCGCGAGAGTAGCTGAAAACGCCGGCTGTTTAAGTGACAATCAGAGAGAGATTGAGTGTGTGCGAGAGGGAGAGGGAGAAGGGGCGATGAGATAAGCGAAGAGAGCTCAAGACTCTCTCTCTCTACAAGTATATATGCAGTGTGTGTGTGTGTGTGTGTATGTCTCACCGTGGTCTTTGCCATACATATCGAAGCAGTTGGCAAAGATCGTGCGACCTTTGGGCGAGGGCACAATACTTGCCACGGGTCTGCCATCCTTGGTGCGGACTCGCCGCGAGAAAAAGGCCATAATGTAGTAGTTCTTGTTGACCCGATAGAGCCACAAAACGAACACAGAAAGTGCCACCGTCAGCCACAAGGTAATCATCGCTCCGCAACCGCACTGATGGGCTTCTCTCGCGAAACTGCCATTCCGAGCGATTCATCCGAGTGGGCAATTCGACTAAAGCCGCCGCCGGTTCTCGTTTATAACTAAAAAAAAAAAAAACAAGGCACCCGAACTGATAAGATTTAATACGTTTAGTATGGGTAAACATATGTCCACACACACATATGTACGTGTGATAAGTGTGTGAGAGTATGTGTTTGTGCGCTGTGGGTCGGCGTTTATCTCGTCTGCTCATATGAATTTGGATTTAATTGCCCAGCACTTGTTATTCCACAAATGGGTGTAATAAAATAATTTAGGAGATCGGTTACGGTGTGCGGTGTGCGGTGTAGTCACAATTCACATTATACATACATTTATACATATCTACGTACATATGTGACTATGATGCTAGGAAGTGTAATTCATGTTCAGGACCAAGAAGTATTAATTTAATTATGGTAAAGCTTTCTTATTTATTTATTGGAACCATTAACCACTTAAATCATGTTTTAGCCAGAGCAACAAAATATAGTTGCCTTTCGGCAGTCTACTACCCTTATGGGAACTATCATTGATAGTCTCTTGAAGCTCTATTGAATTTCACACCAAGTAGAACTGGGTATAGATCTGGTCGAATATTCTATAACTACCGACTAAATGGCTTATGAAAATCAAGTAAAACCTGTTTGTCGATAGATAATTATGGCAGAGATAATTATTCTTCCAACTAGATCCCAATCGACATTTGTTCTTGAAACCCCTGGAACCCTGAAACCACTCACAAGTTTTACTTGATTGGTGTTCTGTGTCCGCAGGGTAATTCCCCCTTGGAGTCGATCAGCATCAGAATTCGGAATTGCTTCAGGGTCTTCCTCTCCTGCCTGGCAAATGTTTAGCCTTAAAGAAAGGAAACATTCAATCATTAAAAAGCCCAAAGCAACTCACCAATGCCAATCCGTTCCGTTTTATGTCACATTTGATATCTTATCGTTTTTTTAAAGCAAACTCTTTAAAAGTATATTTGAGTTGTCTTGCAGGCGGCCAACTTAAGTTTCTCATATCGCCCTGCCCAGGGTTCTGCCCTTATCGATTTGGTTGCTAATTCCATGCACACTCGTTCATACAAACATACAATACATATTTATGTATGCATTTATTCATTCGCCTTTGTTATGTATCTTCTAGCAGTTCCATTTGGCATTTGCATTAGCAGCTAATTGGCAATTGAATTGCATCAATTACGATGTGAAGGCGACTGTTGCAATGCAATTTCCATGCTGCTTCTGACCCACTTTCCTGTGAAATTCAAGAAATTACGAAATACATGAAAAAATTCTGGGGACAAGGGAAGGAAACTTTAAGTCGCTGGCTGAGTGGAAAATGTTGCCATGAGTTTTTCCTTCCGCTTTTGCCTCAGACTCCGTGCTGTGCCACTCCACCTCACTCACTCAGCCACACGCAGCCCCTCCCCACCCCCGCCCCACCCCGATTACATGCTCGCATGCCAAATGCATATTGGAAATTTGCAATTTCGATTGCACTCCAAAGTCTGTCGAAGACGAGGACCAAGTCGATTGGGAAGTGCAGCTCAAGTCGAAGCCAAGTTATTAAATTAGATCACATATGAAATATGCATGGCTAAAGTTCTTGCCTCCCTGCCTCATTTCTCTTCACTCCGGATATATTTAAACTCTCTCTCCCTCTCTCTTTCTCTGCTTCTCTGTCGCGCAGATGCATCTCCTGGCTGTCGGGCACCGGATGTGCGCTTTACGATTGTCAAGCCGGACGAGACGACGGAGCAGCCGTATGCCAAATTCGAGACCACGCAGGTCTACCTGCCCGAGGACTTCACCACAGCCGATGTGGAGTTTGTCGACTCGGTGGCCCGCAATCCCAGCGAGAACCACGCGGCCATTGTGAATCCCTACTCCCTGGACCTGGGCGATGAGCATCTGCATGTTGGCGACGCGGCCGCCAGCCTGGTGGCCGACGACGACGAGCTGGATGACGAGGAGGAGCCGGGCACGGACACGGACGATGGGAAGAAGCGCACGAACGGCAACCGCAAGCAGGGCAAGAAGCGTCGCTCCGGCTCCGGGCGACGCCGCCGCATAGAGAATGACAACGGGCAGACGGGTCGGGGCCGCGGCAGTCGATACAAGCGGCATGCCATACTCCATGACGCGGATGCCTCGTCGGACACGGACCGGTGGGCGGGCAGCAAGCTCGCCGCCGAGGGGGATGTCTACTACGTGCACATTGCCGACATCCTGAAGAGCCGCGAACCGAATCGGGCGCTGCGCTCCAAGCTGCACAAGCTCAAGCAGAAGGCCAAGATGAGGAAGTGCCTGGCGGAGGGCAACAAGGAGCAGTGCGCCAAGCTCAAGACAAAGACAAAGAAGAAGAAGCTGGAGCAGGAGCAGGAGGAGCAGAACCAGAAGCACAAATCGGCCCAAGTCGAACGGAAGACAGAAGCGGAACCCAAGGAAGCGCAGCAGCCGCTGGAAGTGGATATGGACCGGCCAGAAACCTCTGGCCATCATCGCCGACGCGGTGACAGTCACGATGCAGAGCTCGACCAGCGTGACCTGAATCCGCGTTGGCGCAGCCGTCGCAGCATCGATGCCAAGGGCGATCTTGGCCAGCTGCAGCTGCAGCTGCAAACGGATGCAGTGGCAGAGGCAAAGGCAAAGGCAAAGACAGAGTTGGAGGCGGTGGAGAATCAGTCCCAATATCGCTACGAGAATCAGTCGAGCAGTGCAGCAGTGGCCCTGCAACGTGTAAAGCGCAAGTCGGGCAAGACCACGGGTGCACTGAGCCGTCCGAAAGGTGGTGGCGACTCCAGTTCGAAGACCACCAGTCGCAAGGACAAGGGTGAGTGTGTGCGCCCACATAGCGGCCAGACACTGGCAATGCCACAGTGCCCAATGCTTCTAAAGAATTTGCCGCCGCTGTCGCTGTCTCATTGTCTGTCTGTCCGTCTGTGTTGCGGCCCAGATCTGTCCACCAAATCGATGCATATCGATGCGGTGGACCACACAGAGAGCAAATACAGTTCGATCTGCGTCTTTGGCCCACGCCAAAGCCACTAATGCACTTGCAAATACTCCTTGGAAGCCTCCAAAATGGTTACATCTTGGCTTTTTATTCATGGTCCGATTGATGTCTGCCAGGAGGGAAAATAAGGCTAAAAATGATTTACAGTTGATACTCGTATTACAGATCTCAAATATACGTAGCCATAGCTGGCAGAGTGATGAAATATCGCCCGTTGATAATTATAATTTTATTTTAAGTTTTCATTTAACCTTTGGGGAAAATATTCCCTGCAATAGCAGACTTAATATTCGAAACTTCCTTTTGCAAGGGCATTAAAAGCACACACACACACACATGCCAATACTCACACTCACCACACACACACACACACACACACCACACACATATAAAAATGGATGCTGAAAGTGGAGGACACCGACACACATACTCGAAACATACTCGTAAAAGCTAATCGCAGTCGCACAGAACCACAGCCACATTGCCACCCTCATAGCCTCTCATAGCTCATCCAACCACCCACCACCCACCACACGCCACCTGGCAACGGCACCTGCCGGATCAGCCGCTCCCAGTCACCCAATCACCCAGTCAACCCAGTCAACCCCGTCACCCTGCTCCCGAATCACCAACTCTGACGATACCCCTTTTTAGCTTTTCATTATCCCCCCATTTGGACACCCCTGCTGCGTGGTCATGGTTTATTTGCTCCTACCCCACCCCACCCCACCCCACCCACCGACGACATCTTTGTCGTGGTTAGGAGCACACAGACCTGTCCGTTCCCGAGCATCCTGAACTTTACTTTGTTGGATGGCGACTGCCCGTTCCGGCCTTTGTTACGGTCCGCTTCAGCTTCAGAGCTGCAATCCTCAATGATTTCCCTTTGTACTGCTCCGCCCCCTCCTGCTGCTGCTGCTGCTGCTTCCTGCGCCTTGTGGCCTTTGTTTGTGGCCAGATTCTCCCTCAGCCATAGCAGCCATAGCAGCCACAGCCTTCTTTTTGTGTGCTTTCTATTAGCCGGCCCCATTCGCTGGCATAATATTATCCTTCGTGTTATCTTTGCCTTTTCACTTCTCCTTTTTCTCGGAGCTCTTTTTGATGGTTTGCTTAGAAATGAAGTTGTATCCTGTTAAGTGGCCACTCCGCTGCGCCAGCCCCATCCTTATGGTTTTCTTTTAATGCATATCTGAGGAGCCCACGCCCCACGAGTTTCCCATTGAAATTTTGCAGTTGGGAGCACTTTTCGCACGTCTCGTGGCTTTCTCTATGGTTTAATGTGTGTGCCCAAGAGGCGGACTCAAGTGTTTCTCTCGCCTCTCACCCCCCACATCGAAATGGGGCAGCTTCAGTTCTAGCTCTAGCTCCAGCGCCAGCTCCAGCACCAGCTCCAGCACCAGCTCCAGCTGATGGAGGAATTAGGATGCCTTTTTGAGTGGCTGGGTCAACCCATTGACTTTTTGTGAGGATAACGTGGACGTTCATTTTGGATAGGATCATCCATTGTCGACGAGCCTTCTTCAACATCCTCCTCTCTACACGCATTCGTTCATTGTCATACCGCATCCCGCATCCACATACCGCATCCTCTCATCCCGCTTGACAGCTCATTAGATGCTTGCTCTATTTGCCCACTCAATGTCTATCTACCCCCCGTTTCTTGGCATGTTACATTGCCCATCTCATAACGCCCACACGTTCTGTTCTTCTCGTCTCTCGCCCTAACTCTCAACTCCAGGCATATACGACGAGGAGGCCGGCTACTCGCCCGTCCATCCCGACGACACCGAGTTCGACGAGGAGGAGGAGGAGGAGGAGGAGGTGGACATACTGCAGCAGTTCACCGAGGTATCCGAGATTCGATTTCCGGGCGAGATTGGGCCCATGGGCGATCGACGACTCTGCAAGATACGCTGTGTGAAGGGCAAGTGGGTGGGACCGCTGTGCGCCACCAATGAGGAGGGTAAGTGAGCCACAAAACACCAACAAATGCACCATGGAACACACTTACAGTCAGCACAAAAGATACACAGATACACAGATACATATAGCAATAGATACAGCTGCAGCTACAGTTACAGTTACGGATAATACGAGTACATTTAAGTCAAAAAAAGAAACAATTGCGATATCATTTATACGAATGCAAAATACACACGAAACAAAAGAAATCCACAAAACCAAAAACAGATTGTTGTTTCATTTGTCGCCCCCACTTAATGTTCTCCAACCTCCCTCCCACCCCACCCCACCCCATCCTCCAATCCCACAACTCCGCAACTTCAATCCCCTACAATAGATGATAACGGGAATGTGAAGTTTCAGCCGCTGTACAAGAGCTGCCACGTGAACCGGATACCGTCGCATCTGCTGCTCAGCTATCGCAACATCTCAGTGGTAAGTGGACGACGACGAGCGGCTGCTGCTGCACCACTGGCATCACTAATGCACCACAACCACCTGCTACAGCACAACATTACATGCACACCCACACCCACACCCACATACACACATACACACATACATACATGGATCTCTAGGGAACGAACCCCATCCAATGCCCATGCGTAGAGGCCTCAATCTCAATAACAGAGGAGTTCAGAGGAGCTCGCTCCGCCTGCGACCTTCTTCGACTTCGCTCTCTCTCTCTCTCTCGCTCTATCTCTCTCTGACTATCTCTATCCTCATATCAGCTGCACCCAATCTCTCTCTCTCTCTCTCTCTCTCTCTGTCAAGTCCAGCGTCATCATGTGCATGCGGATGCCCGAAGAGGCAACGATTCTCTATGTTCTATGTTTTGGTACTCTCTGATTCTCTCTCTTGCAGACACCGATACCACCAAATCGCGGCTGGCGTAAAACGCGCTTATCCAAATCGACACTTCTCTCAAATACAGAAATTGTGAGTCGTCGCTATAGATGCTGTTGTGTAGAATGCTCGTTACGTAGATGTCAACGACAACACGGATAAACAGATGCACAGATACACAGATACCCAGTACAGCCACACACACACACACAGACAGCCACACAGACACACGTGAATAGCGGATGTAGCGGGTCCAATTAGTGGGTCCCTGTTGAGCACGGTCTATATCCATGCACTCTCGCACCCACACACTAACACTAACACACACACACACAGATACTCGCACACAGATACTCGAAGACTACTACACGGAGACTCGGGGATATGCACGCCAGAGTATCCTACCCGTAACCCGTAGCCCGTAACCAGAGCCACTCGCCCAACCCACAAAAACCCAAAAACAGATCGGGATCACATTTGATTTTCAGCTAACTTTTCTCCACTTTTTCTTTCTCTCTCTCTCTTTGTCTCTCTCTCTGTTTCTCTCTCACTTTGTCACTGTTTCTGCACGCCTCCCTCTCAATGCCTGCCTTCTGCCTTGTGCCTGCCTCTCTTGCCCCTTGTCCTTGTGCTTGCCAAATCCCAGAACGTTGGCTGGGATCTGCCGCATGGACACTCACTGCAGGCACGCTGCCAGGAATTGGGCATCTACAAGCTGCTGGGGGAGTCGCGAGTACTCTGCTCCAACGGCCTGTGGGCACCCCGCATGCCCAGCTGTGTGCCCACCACCGTGCTGACCAACTACTCGGAGGACAGTGCCCCCTCCATCCGCATCAAGGTCTTCAATGGCTCACACTCGTTCGAACCCTCCGGCGTGATGGCTGTGCCCCCGCACAGCACCGTGCTGATGGACTGCATGTATCCCCGGGTGCGGGGAACTCCCGAGTGGAGCTGGACCAGCTGGTACATGCAGTACGCGACAGGTGAGTACCGTCTCCTGTGGCATGCAGGAGATCTTTGTACATGGATTCGCACTTCCGCCGCCGTCCAGGTTGGTCGCCGGCGCAGGAGGAGAAGGCCGTACGCTATCGGCTGAGCATCAAGAATATCGAGAACAATGACTCGGGCACCTTTACCTGCACATCGCCACGCGGACTCACGAACAGCATTGCCGTCGTGGTGGCCACTTCGACGTGCCCGCAGCTGACAGAGCCGCTGGCGCCGCTCAAGCTGCGCCTCGAAGGCAACAAGCTCGGCCAGCGTGCTCTGTACGAATGCCCCGAGGGCTTCCGGCTGGATGGCGCTTGGAACGCCACCTGCCTGGCCTCCGGCAATTGGTCATCGCCGCCGCCAACATGCCACTCCATCCAATGTCCGCGCCTCGAACTCGACGATCCCCATCTCAGTCTCATTGAACTCAATACCTCGGCATGGGGGCGCGCGGTGTTCAAATGCCAGTGGGGTTTCAAGTTGACCGGACCGGCGCAGCTGGACTGTGAGCCGACGGGCGTCTGGAGTGGCCCCGTTCCGCGCTGCAAAGGTGAGTGGATGGATGACCATACATTAATTTATTGATGCGTAACTGGACAATTGATAATCCGTTTCGTTTATTCAATTCCACACCACACCTGTGTGCCGTGCCACCTGTGATTTGCCCCCAAACCGTACCGCAGTCATTCAGTGCGTGATGCCAGTGGCGCCGCTCAACGGACGCATCGGTGGCATCGGTGGCCAGCGGCGGCTGACCGTGGGCGCTCTGGTCACATTCAGTTGCAACGATGGTCACACCCTGGTTGGCGAGTCGAGCATCATTTGCACGGAGAACGGATTCTGGTCGCACTCGCCGCCATTTTGTAAGTAGACATCCGCTGCTAACATACACACATATACGCACAGATATGCTGCGAGAGATCCGATCCCAATCAATCTTCCGAGTGGGGCCCACTCACCATCCAAAATGAATTAATGACTCTTGTGTTGTATTTCCGCTGTAACAATCGACCGATACCGATACCGATACCGATCACCAAATCACCACAAACCCATACACCATACCACCACCACCATGCATGACCAATGACCATCCATGCAATGCTCTCCATGCTCTCGCCCAACGTGCAGGCAAGTCGCAGTGTCCGTATCCCGGCGACCCGCCCAACGGTCTGATAGCTCCCCTCAAATTCAACTACGATGCGGGCGACTACCTGAGCGTCCAGTGCCGCCCAGGCTTTGTCCAGACCAACGAGGACCACCGGAATACGGGGCCGCCCGAGCGACCGAAGTGCCAGCCCGATGGCAAGTGGTCGGGACCGCTGCCCAAGTGCCGCAGCTACGAGGAGGTGTAACCGCACAAACAAAGAGCATATCCGACGGCCATTCCATTCGATTGATACTGGCAGCCCTAATTTAGTATTATGAACCACCCATCCAACGTGAATAATGAGAATGATATTGTATACAATTGTGTGTGGTAGAAGAAATTCCAAATTCAACACAACAAGAAGACAAAACCAGAAGGACAAAAAAGAACATCAAGAAACCGAGTGATATTTAGATTAACTTAGTGAGAGGTATCAAAATTAATAGATATTTTACTAGATATGTTCATTCAACACCTAAATTATATACATACATACATATGTATATTTTATTGCATTGCACTGCATTCATACAGATATTCTTTGGTCAGAGCTCTCTCTCTCTCTCTCTCTCTTACGCTACCCCTGCTGCACAGGCCCGCACACGAAAAAGTCACTCTTCTCCAAAAGATTAGGTCTCGAGCAAGCGTATATATACGTATATATAGAAGATACATACATATGTACTCGTATTTTGTTCGTCAGATTGTAAAAGTTTGCAAATAATATTCAGTAATCGTTTCGCTTGAAGTTTGAACAGAATAATTCTTGTACTAAATATACATATAAACGAATATTTAATCCAATGCTAATTACAGGTATTTATGTATTATGGTTGCAAATCAAAACTTGCATAACAAATGTAAATGTTTTAAACAAACACACACTTACCCACAGTAAATATATATACATACAATACATATACATATACAGAAAATTAATTCTACTACTTATCAAAATAAATGTTTGAAAAGGAAGGAAGAGCTGCAAATGCAAAAGAGTTACATACATAATTAGTTAGGAGAAACGAAAAGCAAAAGCAAAAACCAAAGTAAAAGCAAAGCAAAGCGAAGCGAAACAAAGCCCCTGATTCCTGGGGGCAATTGAAAGTCATATCCCTTTAATGTCTCTCACAAAGAGAAGGAAATGTGTACCGTACGAGTGTGTAAGCTGCTGCAATGTATGTGTGGTGTGTAAAGAGATGAACATTTTAAATAAATTACGAATATTGTGTAAAATGCAATTCCCAGTCTTTAACTGTGTTTCTCTCTCTCTCTCTGTCTGCTGAGGAGCGGGGCATGGTACACCTAATGGGAAGGTATGGTCATGCGAGTGAGCGGCCGCCTCTACTCAAAAGCAACTTGGCTGCGCTTGGCTGACGCATTATCGATGCGAGAGAGATGCTGAGCGAAAGCGTGAGAGCCATACCGTGCACGAACCAACGTGCCTTGCGATTCATCTGCATGAGCGTGAGAGAGCGTTAGTGAGTGGGAGTAGGAGGAAAGCAAATAACTGTTTCGCCTAAACTTTTGCCAAAGCAAGCAAAAGAGCAGCCAGCCAGCCAGGCAGCCGCGTTGAACGTTTGACTGAAATGCAAGAACTAACCGTTACCTCATAAATGAGTGTGTGCACACATGTGTGCCTGTCTTCCTCCCCCACCCGCTGCACTGTGGAAGTGTCAGTCGCAAATCGTAAGTGAAATTCATTTAGCTGAAGAGCGGGGAGCCTCATAACGGTTGAAATACACTTGGTAATTGCCTTTTTACACCCTCATGTTTTATGTTTGTTTTATTTTTGTTCGCCGCATTTTCCATTTAACTCCACCGTATACACCTGGAAATTAATTTGTTTTGTTCTGGAGCACCTTCAAACGATTGAAGGAAGCTTCATTTCCCGCCAGCTCATATTCCACACGCATGGCCGCTAAAAACACCCATTGTCGTTTATTCACAGCCACGCCCAGGTGCTCCGCCCACGGCCCCCACATTTAATGGCAATTTGGAGCCTGTGGTGGCGTGCGGAGCTGGCAGAATGCTGGAAAAGGTGTCTAAATTGAGATGCCCCGTGTCGCAGCAACACCATGCGGCACGGTCGTGTGTGCGTAATTAAAATTAACTGCTGCTGGCTGCTGGCTGCTGTGGTTGCCGCAGCCACTGCTCCCGCTCCCGCTCCAGCTTGTCTGCTCGTTTTGTAGCAAATTGGTTTTGCTTGTTTGCTGGTCCCCAAAAAAAAATTAATACACCTCGCTTTTGTTGGGCCTCGTTCGTGTACGACATAAAACTCTCATTTAACTTTCAACGAAGGGAGGGGCAACTTTAAGACGCAAACTGCTCTGGTATCACTGGAACACATGCAATTAGCCGCACGCGGATGTGGCGGATGCGGATGCGAATACCAATCTAGTTGCATATCCATTTCCGATCTGTGCAAAAAGTTGAACAATTTTCATTAGCACCTCAAAAGTTTCGTTTCACAGTTTCGGAAGGAAATGGGAGGTGGAATGGCAATGGCAATGGCAATGGGCATGGCAGCTGGGAGCTGGGAGCTGGCAGCTGGGAACTGGCAACTGGGACTGTGGGGAGTGTCAGGCTACTGAAGCATGGAACATGGCAAAGGGCATTCTCGGATATCCGAGCCAGCTCAAACATATCACAACTGCAATATTTTCTGTCCGTGCTCGGGTCAAAACCAATGAACTATGCATGTCACGTAGCTCAAAACCAGCCCCGTCCTCATCCTAACCGCTACGCCATCCCCAGCCCCATTCCCATCCATCCCCCTTCCATAGTCATAAAAAACGAGCTTGTGCCCTGCCCCGCAGCCCTGCTCTGCTCTGGATGTTAAATGCATTCCAAAGCCATGGGGCTAACTGCTCTTGAACTCCCTCCTTACCTCTGTGTGTGTGTGTGCTCCGTGACGGGCTGGAGACAAAGTGCACTGTTGGCCATAAAGTTATCTATGCCATTTATTCGTAGAATTCGCTGGCCTTAAAGTTGCCATACTCTTTTCGCTTTCAGCTGAATAGTTGACAAAATTTCCCACATCTAACATTCAACTTTTGTTGAAAAATAATCAAAATTCCATGACAATCTGTATGCAAAACTCAAGAGCAATTACTCAGACAGAACCAACAGGCCTGGGGACCAATAGGCAGGGGCCATAAATGAGTTGGGTAAACGCTTGGACAGCACTTTTGGGATGGAAGAGCAGCGGAAAATATCATTAATCATGAAAGCTTGAAATAACAATCGGAATTGTGTGATATATTCATGGGAATAGCCCAGTTTTAATGAGATCTGGCAACAATCTTAAAAAATGAAACCCCGAAAACACCGACATTTAAGTTCTGTGCTCAAGGCAAATCCTGCTCTGCAAATAGTTCTGCAAATAAACATGACAGCTGTCAGTAGATACATATGTATCTGCTGATATCGGTCGTGTGCTTTCATATTTGAGTAATTAATGTCTAATGGGCAACCAGGCAACCCCCATCCTACCTCGAATGCCTGCTCATGCCTGCTCTGCTGCACTCTCTCCCTGCTCATCTCTTCCGCTCAAAGAGCACATCCATAATGGGCTGAAAAGTGCCTCCAGGCTCTTTGGGTAAATATTCGTGGCATATGAAATGCAACATGGAATGGAATTGGGCTGCTGATGAAGGCTTTGCCTTTCCGAATGTGCTTCAATTTGTGTGTACAGACTCCTTAATTACAGGCTCATCATTCGAGGACGCGGCCTGGATATATATGGCAGTTGATAATGGGCGTGCAGCTGCCGCTTAAAGCCGGCATATTAAAGTGCTTTCAAGTGAGCTGCTGCTGCGGTCACCACTAACGCTGAGTTCCCGCTAATCGACAGACGCGTAATTACCTAGTGGCTGTGGTCAGGGCGCTAATTAAAACTTCACACCTGCCGACGACACTTTATTCCAGCAAAAGCTCAAGCGCAGCAGGAGGAGGGGCACCACTCAAAAAGCCCCACTCACACTTTAACTTTGCCCCGACAATCGGTCCCCAAGGAGCATTTTGTTGCGCTCTGCGCTCTAATTAATCCAACAGAGGTAAAGTCAAACACAGATGGAGAAGTGTGTGGATCACGAGCGCTGGCTGCCATTCGATTCAATTCCAGCGCGTTACGCATCCGCCGTGCTACCTACCAAGTGATTTATTTGCGGGGCACAAATTAACATTTAGATTAAAGCGCGACGAATTAACATTTTTCCATAAATATTTATTTGACTGCAAAGGCGGAGCCCAGCACAAAAAGTTAAACAGTTTCAACGGCTTTGGGTGCAATCCAACTTGCTTACGGAGCCCGCACCCTGGACCATCCCCGGACTCCTTGGGACTCCTGAAAGTATTTTGCATTTGCCACAACGTAATCCGAATCGGATGCGAAAACGAAAGGCAACAATGGACGCAGTTGATGTGGAGTGGAGGAAAAAGACGCAGAAAGAAGAGAAACCTTACTGGACATTTTTTGTTGCCAGCTCTGTGCGAATTTCTTTTTCGCATTTGGCCAGCCAAGTCGCAGCTGCTTGAAAGAACACAATTTATTATAATGCTGATATGCCTTCTCCATGCCAGTGCTCTCTCTCTCTCTCTTTCTCTCCCTCTCTCTCTCTCTCTCTCTCTCTTTTTGTTATCATTGATAACAGCGAGGCGGAATCGAAGCAACTGGCAATGGATATGGCAGTGGGGGAAGAGGGTTACGTGCAATCATCTGCAATGGAGAGTCGAATAAACAAATGAAGAGCGTTCCCAAGCGAAAAACCCGAAGACTCCATGGCTGCTTTTCGGTGGATGGTAATTGAAATGTGGGGAGCAGGCCTCAACCCTGCACTGTAAAGTCCATAAAAATAATATGCAAATTGACTGGCCCAGTGTATGCTTTAAAGTTATGATATGCCAAACGTTTTTGTGGCTGCTTTCAACATTTACATTTGCTTCATGCAAACATTACCATAATTGTGCCATCAACAAATACATGTTTAAATATTTTCATAGTACATGCATGTATTTATTATATGTATATGCATATGTATACATATATGTATGTATCTACATCCGTATCCATATCTGCTCTGACTGTGACGGCAAGTTCCGCTTTGATGCTTCCAGCTCAGTGATTTTTAATAATACAGCGACAGAGATGTAGCGACAATATACAAATTGATAACCCGCTGTGCGAACTTCATAAAATGTGAGAGTTGCGAGAGGCAAAAGTTCTTTACACCTTTTCCTTTTCTACACTCCACAGTTCGGTTGGGTTGTCTAGAGCCATATAAATCACAGCAGGCACGACACGAACAGGACAGGACAGGACAGGACAGAGCAGGCAGTGAGGCAGGAACAAACAGCTACAACAATGGCCATAAAAGCGTTGCGACTAGGCGGCAAAGACAAAGTCAAGTTGAAGGCAGCAGCAGCACCAGCACCAAGCACAGCTTCAAGTACGAAATGACAATTGACGCAAGTTGGCTGCTGCCATGCCACAAACACAATGCCGTATGGCACACACACCTTAACCCCGGGACGGCAACGGCAACTCGAAGCGCACTCCCGCTCCTCCCCTCCTTCCACTCGTCCGTTCCTTTGCGCGCTTCACGCAATTTATTTTATTGTTGTTTGGCAAACAACTTTCATAAGTTTCCAGCTGTTCACAAACGGCACTCAATTTTAGTCGCCATAGTAGTCCTCGCTTGTCCTGTTCGCCCTGTTGCCCCACCTCTCCATGCCCATGGCCCATGCCCATGCCTACTGCCCCACTGTGTTCTGCCTCTCCTGTTGGTCATTGAAAGTTATAAAGTGAGTTTTGCATTATTAGTTGCCAGTTGGTGTGACTAAGTTGCTTGCCACAGCAGCCCTACGGATGGAAGAACAGACAGGCAAACAGGCGAACAGACAGGACAGGACAGGACAGTCGGACGCAATTACC